AATGATTTTAAATAACCTTTGGTCCTCTGTCATAACATGCGCCTCTAAACAAGTTTTGCTAATAGTAAAAAATAATATTAATTATATTTTGAGATTTCATTTTATATTTTAAATTTTTAGGTTGATATTGTTTTTTTATATGGTATTAGAGCTTGTAATTTTTCATTAATACTTTCTTTTTTCTGCTATTATTCATATGGCTATAGCTACTTTTTCTTAAATTTTTTAACCTTTCAATTAAAAAATAGTAGACATGTGTAAATTTCAAATAAAAAAATCAATCGAGGGTTTGTATTAAAAAATAATATAAATTCTATTCTAAGATTTCATTCAACCATTTAAACTTTTAATTTAACATAATTATTTGATCTTAAATTGATATAATTTACGTTAATCATATTCTAAAATAAAAAATTATGATCATTTAAACTTCTTTATGCCAAAGTAGTTCATAGCTCATAAAATCAATCTTAGTCATCCCACGTCACAACCTCTGCCCCAATGAAAGCTAAGATATACACAGCAACTTGAGCCGTTAAGAGAACACCACAAATTGATGTTACCATCAGCTAACATGTCAGACTACATATCATGTAATATACAATATCCATGTATTGATCTTCTCCTATTCACCTATCTATCAATGTGTGGATAGAAAAAAAGAAGGCAGTTATATCCATGAGGGAATTAAATGTAACACTCAAGTATATATTAAAATCCTAGTTCTCTACCCCCAACAATATGCTACCGTCTACCAAACCAACCCCAAAACCCAGTACCATAAACCCTAAAAACCTTTGAAATGGTCATCTCTCTTGCTCCTATCCTTGATTGAAGAATAAATATCAATGTTTTGTACTTCGCGTCTGAGAGGCATGTTATTATATGAGTTTAAACTGTGTTAATAGCTTACAGATGAAATACCGTGAGTGTGTGTATATATATATATATATATACACACACATATTATGAAAGCCTCCATTACATGATTAAAATTTTTTTACAACTAAATATAATGCCATAAATCGTCTCATTCCATTACATAATATGTTTTTGTTACATTACACTATTCCTTACATTACTCCACCAGAATCTGCAGGTGTTCCTAGGAATAGCTACTTCTGTTTTTGTTTTTGTATTTCATGGTGGCTGGGTTTTTAAGCTGGGTCGTGAAACGTTAGGCTAAGAGTTTTGGGCTGGGTTTTGTGTTGCTAGTTATTTGAGTAAGTCTCGATGTTTGTATGGCCCAATACACGTAAACTTTCTAAACCGATTATATTTTTACACCACTTGTTCATTGATTTATTTATTTTTAAAGTTTGCTGGTCCGACGCGAACACATCAAAATCAAAATAAATGGGCAATCTTAGGGTACCTTTCTACCCGTACTATTCCAGTTTTACCAAGGTATGGTTTGTATGGAGGCTGAACCACGACATCATCTTCACCACTCTTAAAATCTGTACGAGGAAGGAATGGGCCCTACAATTCCACTGTGGACTTGGTGTTGCAATCTTCCGGTTTTAAAGACGGTTTGATATTTTAGAAAAAGAATTAAACAAATCAAATTGTACGGAAAAACGATTTAATTTCGAAGCAAACTTTCTCTTAAAAGCAAACAAAACTACAAGACCTTTTGGTCCAGTTCTATTGGTTGTTTTAACAAAAACAAAGGATCCCCACATTGATGATGTCTTAAGAGTTTGATCTCAGGTAATTGGCTCAAGTGCAAGTTACGCTCTTTTTGTCAACCATTCTTATATTTATCAATTTTTTAGAGTATGAGGTGGTGTTAACATCATTATCTATTGCCACCAAACAGTGCGAGTTAGCTGTCACGATATTGTTTAGATTTGATTAAGATTGAGATTTAATTTTTATTATTTTTTAATAATATTAGATTTTGGTGGGTCTGATTCAAAATATAATTTAATGATTGATCAAAGATTAGACATATTCTAATAATTTAAAGATTAATGAATTTATTTTTAATGGGTATAAAAACTGAAATGAATATAATCCTGAACATTAAAAAAAAAAATCATTACCTATTTGAAATATAAGAAAAAAGATGTGACAGACTAGCTGTTCTTGTGGAAACATGTGCATAAATTCTACAATATGAGGTCAAATTAATGTAGCATATCTACTTTTATATCCCAACAAATGAAAGTCACATTTCAACCTTTCACCAAAACAGAGAGCTCTTGGCTTGGAAGATCACCCATCCCCCTCCATCTGCCTTTCCACCATTGATGCCGACTCTCCACCACGTTAATCTACTTGCCTCTTGGGTTGAGGCCCAATGGCCGGCCCACCTATTGCGGGTCCCAAATAAAAATAAATTTATATTAATAAAAAAACTGAAGACAAAACTTTCCTATCCAAGCCGAATACAAGGTTTAATGATAAATATTGTCTTCGTTTAATTGCAATTTACAATTCCATTTCCTTTAGTATCAAATTGTGTAATTTAAACTTTAAATTATTAGTTTTTGAACAAAATTAATCTATTTTTTCTAATTGTCATTATATATAACGGCCAATTGAATTGATCGTTACTTGAAATATCAAAACATCGTTTTAACATTTCATTATTAATTATTTTAAAAAAAATTTAACCTCCCCGAACTTGATTTAAAAAAAAAAATATTTTTTTATACAATATAATAAATATTTTTAACCCCTAATTTTAAAAATTTTAAAAACTTTTTTTTCTAAAATAATATAAATATTTTATAATTTATAATTTATAAAATTATGAGGGTCAACCTTTAATTATGCTCATTTTAATTTATAAATATTATAATTTATATTATAAACATTTTAATGCTCATTGGATATTATAAATATTTTATAAAGAGTATTAAAAAAAACGTAATTAACAATACATAATTTCATGCCTTTGAAAAATAACATTTTATAAATTAAAATGAGCATAATTAAGGATTGACTTCCTAATATTATAAATTATAAAATAAAATAAAATAAAAAGTTCAAAATTAGGGGCTAAAAATATTTATAAATTTTTTATAATATTTTATAAGTTTTTTTTTAAAAAAAATTTCAAGACTAGGGGGTTTTAAATTTTTTTTTTAAAAAAAACATAATTAATAGTCGAATGTCGAAACAAACTCATTTTAGTATTTCAAGTAACGGTCAACTCAATTGACCGTTACATATAATGATAATTAGAAAAATTGTAATGATTTTTTCAAGAAACCAATAATTTGATATTTAAATTACGCAATTTGATACTAAAATTATCAAATTGTAATAGAATAAAAGTAAAATCTGTCATTAAACCTCAAATTTAGGTTCAATTGGGCATCTAGATAATTCTTTTTTTTTTCCTTTTATTTAGTGACAAAATTTTAACACTAAAGCAAAAATGAAAATACGTCTAATAGCAGTTGTTAATTGGAAAAAAAAAAAAAGATTATGTAATATCAATGAGTAGGTAGATTTATATTTGATTTTTTTTTCTTTTATCAAAACACTTATAGATTTTGAACTACATTATAAGTAGTTTTTCAAATTAGCTAAAGAAAGTTATCAAACATACAATGGATATTATATACCTATTTATAAATTTTATATTTAAACTCACTCAACTTTTGGAGAATGATCACATGGTGACAAGATTATATCTTCTTGGGACCACATTGGGGAATGCAGATTTTATGATCACGCTTATAAAAGGCAGAGTTAACCAATATTGTTAGATCAGACATTAAACAGTATCTAAAATAATTTATTTTACTTCATTTATTTAATTTATTAGTGGAATGGGATAAAATAATAATAATAATAATAAACAAATATTTAAATGAAATGGATGATATTGATTATAAACATTAAATTATTATCATTTTATATAATAATATTTTGACATATTAATAATAAATTACTTATTTATATTAGTAACTAAAAATTAATTTAAAGTAGCAAATAACTTTTAACAAGTGCTCCAAATATATCTCTTAAGCTAGCTAATGCAGTGAATCTTCATTGTTCTATACGTTGTATGCTCTAGATCAATTGACCATAGAATATTTTTTACTTAAATATTTGTTCTCTGAATTTTTCAATTAATTTCAATTACCGAAGGTATAGACTTTATCATTGGATCTTCCAAAAGACTTGCCATCAAGTGATTACGAATATTCTGAGAAATTCTTAAGCCAAATACCTTTATATTGATAACATTATTCATTTATTTATTTTGTTTATTGGAAGATTTTATGAGTTTTGCATTAGACAACAAGAAATAATCCTTCCAATTACATTAGAACTGAAAAAATGGAATTTTCAACCGTACTCAATTAAAAAAAAACCGAAATTATAATTATTAAGAGAAATTATAAGGTATATCAAATACTGCATTTCTTTCTTTTACAATATATATATATTCTTTTCAAAAAATATAAAACTTATTATCATTAAGACTTCACTGCTTTTCTAGTGTGGCGAGTATAGTAGCAGTAATATAATATATGGTGGTGTGATATCATTTTCCAAGGAAGATTAGCCCTGGAGACCGGAGTAATTAGGAGAAGAAAATGTAGGGCATGATGATAGGGTCCACAAATACATAGAAATAAAGAAAGAAAGAGTGCCTAATTTTATATCCAAAAAAAGAAGGAAAGAGATAGCCTAATCCATCTAGGACCTCTCACTTGGAGTCTCTCAAGTCTCAAGAGAATACTTACATAAGCAAAACGACAAGGAGAGTCGTAAAAGAGAAAAGAAGAAAAAAGCAAAAGACATCCCAACATACAAGTCTGTATTACAATAGCAACCATCATCTGCCGTTGGACAGATAAGCTGTCCCTTTTTGTCTCTTCCTTCTCCTTCCTAGCTATAACTAACAACCATAGTCATCACCATTTTTCTTTTATAAAACTCCTGTTCACTTAATATTTTCCAACCCCATTCAATATCATCTTCAACAATTTTCATTTGCTAATTTTTTACATTAAATTTTCCATACAATTATCATGGGTTCAAGAGCTAGAAGGAAGCAAAGATGGAGCACACAAACCCTAACTCCACTCCTAGAAGGTCCGGACCCCGATATGCAAGAAGAAGGTAACAAAAAGGAAAGTTCATGGGAAATAATTCGCGAATGGTTTCGATTGCAGAAGGGTCTTTCTGCTGGTAACCATTTTTCAGTATCATTATATGGGAGCATGCCAGCCAAAAGACAAGATTTGAGGCTTCTACTTGGAGTTTTGGGTTGCCCTCTAGCCCCAATCCCTCTGGTTGACGACCCCATTCATCGCATTCACATTAAAAACACTCCTATTGTAAGTTCTTCTTATACATTACTTATCTTATCTTTACATTTATATTTATTTCTGCAAGTTAACTCCAACATTTTGATAATTTTTATTTTCTTACAGGAAAATTCTGCCGCGCATTATATCATACAACAATATCTGGCAGCAACAGGGTGTTTAAAGCAACAAAAATGTATGAAAAACATGTATTCAACGGGAAGTGTGAAGATGATTCGTTGTGAGACAGAAATTTCCTCAGGAAAGAACGTGAAGAGCTTAGGGACTAGAAGTGGTGAAAATGGGTGCTTTGTTCTTTGGCAAATGTTGCCAGGTATGTGGTCTCTTGAATTGGTTGTCGGAGAAAATAAAGTCATTGCAGGCAGTGATGGGAAGACTGTGTGGCGGCATACTCCTTGGCTTGGTACTCATGCTGCCAAAGGACCCCAACGCCCTCTACGTCGCATCATCCAGGTACCATGATTAATTTTGATGAAACTGCCCCCTTTAAGACCATAGTTTAATCCAATCATTTAAAAGAAAAAAAAAACAGCTAGAAAATTCGTGTTCTAAAATTGGCGGTGCGATATAGGAGCATGAGGGAAAAAAATGAACGAAAGGCAAAATGGTTGAAGCATTCGTACCTTCAGATAGCTAGCTAGCTAGCCCGTGTTTTGATCTGATGAATTTTTCTGTTATTGTTTTGATTGAAGATGATAAAACAAAATTAGGATTATTGTTGTTTACACTATAATTTTTTATTTTTTATTATTATCTAGTTTACTCAAATTTACATGCCAAACTTACCCATAGAAAGAGATGGAAGACCAAAATCACAATCCCGAGAAATGATAGTGTGTATTACCCTTTACCTCAGCTGACATGATGGAGAAACTGTCTCCTGCTTTACCAGGCAGAACCCCTCACGTTATTCACTGAGTGAGGAATGGCACGTGATTTTGTTTTTGACGTCATCTTTGATCATGTTCAAAGTTCATACACACACACATACATTTTTTTTGGGATTGCAGCTTATAATTATCCCTTTGCTCTTTAACTTTTCCTTTTTTTGCACTTTAGTGAATATTGCATTATTGCCCCTTGCTTTTCTTGGCTTTTTCCCTCTTCTTTGTTTGTTTTCTACTTCTTTCCATGTCAGTCGATTTCCTTTCTCTTTTGTCCCGTTTTCTGTTTTTGTTTTCGAAATCACGGCGAGTTTCAACTTTTAAAATTTTCAAAATTAGAGAAACTATTGTGGCGGAATTGAGATCCTAATTTATGGTGAAGGAGTATTTCCTTTGCCATATGAAGAGTTAACAGGGATGATACTTAATGGGAATAACTTTGACCCGTGTGAGGAGCCTTTCTTTAGAGTTTGGGCCGAAGCCCTGTTTCCCACCTTACAAAATAAATAAAAGGATTTGGAATTAGTCATGAGGAACATTCATGATTAATTTGTTTCTTTTGCTTGCTATGGCATGAGATGAATCACTGGCCCCAATTGTTGAAACTTTGTCCACCTTGAATAAAAAGCATATTGCTGTATGCTTCCTTTATTTTTGTGTATCTTTGGAAATGCAAGTCATAATGTAAAAGCTTAGGTAGAGCATGTATGGAAGTACCAAAAATATTCGGGCATCCTCGTCATCATCCTTGCTCATTTATTAATTAATAATATTCAAAGACTTGATTCTCAAATATATATATATATATTTGGAGGAAAAAATAACATGGATATGAATTGAGTTACAAGTTCATGACACCTTGGTTTGCATCTAATTATGTGCCCTTCAAATAAACACCAATATTGCATATAATGAACTTGTAACTTTTCTTGATCATGCACTTAATTCATCATTTGGTGATATTCCAGGGCCTAGATCCAAAGAGTACGGCCAACTTATTTGCTAAAGCACGAGTGCTTAGGTGAGAAACGAATCGGTGAGGATGATTGCTTCGTTTTAAAAGTAGGCTGCGATCGAGAAGTCGTAATCGAAAGAAGTGAAGGACCAGTCGAAGTGCTTAGGCATGTACTATATGGCTATTTTTGCCAAAAAAGTGGCCTCTTAGTATATCCGGAGGACTCCCATCTAACAAGGGTACAAACCCCGGAAAATGAAACTATCTATTGGGAGACAACTATAGGAAGTAGTATTGGGGACTATAGAGACGTGGATGGTGTGTTAATTGCTCATCAAGGAAGGTCAATTGCTACGGCTTTTCGATTCGAGGAAGTGTCCGTGCAACATAGTAGGACTAGGATGGAAGAAGTGTGGAGGATTGATGATGTTGTGTTCAATGTGCCGTGGCTTTCCATGGACTATTTCATCCCTCCCGCCGATATCTTTGATGCTTCTCCATGATTAACCGACATTAATAATTAACTATATATGTTTTTGATCTAATTACAATATTGGTGGGTTTATGGTGTATTTAATCTTCAAGTGTAGAATGTAGTCGTCATGTTTCCTAGTCATGAAGAACAAAATGACCGATTCGAATTCAAGCTTGGGAGGGAATAAGATAAAGAATTTATTAAACCTTATATCTTATGTGTTAATCTATGATATAGCTAGGTGAAAAATTATCTTCGTGCTTGTTTATCATTTTCTCAAGTCTATTTTTTAGCTACTTGTTACGCTCGACCTAAAAGAGGGATTTTTCTAGAGATTCTAGAGAACACTAGATAAGTCTGAAGCTTTTAGAAGAGTATGGAACAATGGAGAAGTCTCTAGATAAGTCCGAAAGCTTCTACAAAGGTATGGAGCAAAGGAGAAGCATCTAAATAAGGCTGGAAGCTTCTGAAGAGTATGAAGCATTGGAGAAATCTCTAGGATGATCTAGAGAAATCTAGAAAGTCCTTCACTAATCTAACATGTACATATCTAGATAATTCATTGTAAATATCTAGATAGGATATTTATAGAGAAACAATTGTAGCCATTAGATCAAATAGATCCTAGCCATCCATCGAGGAGGTGAAATGTTATAAATAGGTGAGGCCTTCAATTGGCCAAGATACCTAGACATCCACAAATCTAAGAGAGTGTATCTTTAGAGTTGTAAGCTTTTAGAAAGCAATATAACGAGTATTTATATCTCTTGTGTGTGTCTTTCTTGCTTAGCAACTTTGTGTGAGGAAGGCCGACTTGGTTTGTGTTAGAGAAGAAGAGAGCCAAGTGTCGCACGTGAGCTCGGGAAAGGCCAAGTCCGTGAAATACTACCGAAAATTGAAGAACAAATTACCGACGCTCAAAGAAAACTCATGTGTTTGCTTTAAAAAAAGAAAAGAAAGATAAATAGTTATTTGCTTATTAAAAAAAATAAATAGTTCGGTACTGTTTTTATGCAATAGATTCAGCTTTTAATTTGTCTTTACATTTCTTATTCCATTATTATGTATTTGAATGATATTTAAGTTTTCAATCTGTTTTTTCAATCAAACTTTTCGAACATGAACATTTTTTTTTTACCAAAATGCTCTTATTAAAATAAAAAATAAGAAAATAAAAAGATTTTAAAAAATAAAACATTAGGTCATGTCCCTTTAATTGGTTTTATTTTTTGTAATTCAATCGAAGCATTTAGGTTAAAAAAATTATTCATGGTAAAAAAAATTGATAAAAAAAAGTTAAAAATCTAAACATTATTTAAAATTAAAAAAATAATTAAAAATTAGAGACTTATTTTTTATATGAAAACCGATCTATTTATCAAAACGAAACCTCGTGTGTTCGGGATTTGCTTTTTAAGGGATTAAGACCGGTGCTAGGAAAGAGCCTAATTGATGACCCGGAGAAACTCTAAGCTCGCACTTGTAAACCTCAAAACTAATTTGTAATAGGCCATTTTTGTTTATGGGCTTAAAGCCCTATACCTTTATAAGGACTAATAAAGCAACAAGTCATAATGTAATTGTCTCGACTCGTTTTGGTTCTTCAAGCCCCGCAATTGAATATTTTCCCCGTTTGTTTCTCTTTTTCATTTTAATTCAGAATAATTGTTTGTCTTAGATGAGAAAAGGAAAACACTTTTGTTAGTTTCATTTTTACTCATTTTATTTATAGGGTAGTGTTTTTTAAGAACTTTCATTTCAATTTCATTTAGATAGATATCAAACATGAGAAAGAAACGTGAAATATTTGGTAAAAGTTACAAAAAGTTCTCATAAGTTTATGCATCCACCATAAATTTGAATCATTAAAATGATGCCGATAATAGTAGGTATTGAAAGTCTAAACGGTGAATCGATCTAACACTAACCCGTGAAACCGGGGAAGGTCTAGACCAATTATTTTTCGGACTAACAGGGAAAAAAAATAATTAATCATATATCTAACGATTACAACTCAACTTTAAAATTAAAGAAAAATATATTTATTTATTTATTTTACAAAATGTTCTAAAAAGTTGAAATCCACATTATTGATGCCAAATGAACTCGAATATTTTTATTTTTATTTTTTTTAACACAAAACGCGTCATGTCACAAAACCATGATGATTTTATAATATACGAGTTATTATACACACAACAATCTCAACTTTCGGACGAGGGAAGTCCGTTCCAAGAACATTGGTCTAGTATTTCTAACTTACAGGAGGTGTTACGCCCTAACCTCGCGGATGGAAGTCTCCGGACTAACTAATACGAGATTCTTTGAGAAGAATAGAGCATGTCATATCACATAACAATGATGATTTAGTGACATGAAAGAATCCCATGTTTGCTGAATATTAGTTTCACTTTCATACGTTATTATGGTCGTTGTAACAAATTTTTTTTTCTAGATTGCATTGATTGAAGCTATAGTTGTCAATGATTGGATTCGTAAAGAATCATAATAAATCCCGCTTCATGATAAAATGGATCGAAGCTTAAAAATTTAAATTGGATTTTAAAAATATCATTTTAGATTTGAATCTTAACGAATGGAGATTGAATTCGAAGTTTTATTAAATTTATCACTTAATTTTTATAAAAAAAAATTATATTTACTCGTGGTTAATATATTGTTTCAATATAAAATGTATTTCAACTACTATATGTATAAGAAATCATATTAAAAGAATATTTTATCTATTAATTTTGTAAACAATTTAAAAAGTCACATGATTCAAAAACACAAAATCAAATAATTATAATATAATTTTGCTTTGAACTAGGTTGGAAGTACAATAAAACTAAAAGAAAATAATACTAAAAAAGTTTTCATTTCTTGTTCACTTAGTACCAAAATGAATATTTCTTAATTTGAATTCTAAAACGATACTCGCTACAAGTCAAAACTTGCAAAGAAAATAAAAAAAGAAATTGAGTTTATCCTACATTTAGATCATATACTCTTCAAACTTTTTAGATTTGAAACTTTTTTTTTTTTTTGCTTGATTGAGATTTCTTATATTTCAAGATTTTTGCTTCAAACCACCCTTTATTATAATGTCACCGATCGGTAATCAACATGTGTCATTATAAAGTAAGAAATCTCGATTACATGTCGGTTATCGATTAGTAACAAGTATAACGAGCGGTTTAAAGCGAGAAAATCTAAAAGAGTAGAAGGTCTCAATTAAAAAAAAATTGAAAAAATATATGATTCAAATGTGAAGAAAACCCAATAGAAATTAATATTGTCATGTGCTTATAACAAGTTTGTAAAAATTTATCAATACAACCTATGATTAGTACCATCAAATAGAACAGCCACTTTTAAATATATTCATTTCTCAACTCTATAATACACACACACATACAGAGAGATATATAAACACATTAAAAAAAACGAGCAAAGAATAATTTTCATAATTGATAAATGCATAAATAATATAAACATAATGAAAAGTACATAAAATATCATATATTTTTTGTTTGAATTTGAAAGCCGATGACTTATAATAATTATTATCTTCGTAACCTCTTGAAATAAAAATACACGATAATCGTTAATTACTCTACATCCAATACTGAATGCAATTTGGAAAGCAAAAGAATTTGATGAAATAACTAATTAGAACATTACGAGTAATTTTTGTAAGGATAGAGAATGTATTACAATTAACATCTGTTGGCCTTTGGTTTTATGTTTCTTTACCACACATCGACCTAAATAATTTTTCAAGTGAGCAGTTCTTTTACTGCTTGACATACAAATTATTTCTTACAATGTTTAGACTAGTCGATATCATATTCATTTGATCCTATGAACTTTTCAAAATCTTACCGTAATTTTAATGTAAATTTTTTTGTCCAGCTAAATGTGGATTTGTAGCGGTCCCAATCTCCATAATTTGCTTGTCTTTAGATTTGGTGTAGTCATCTAGTAATACAGCTTGGCCTATGATTATTTCTTACAATGTATACACTTATCAATATCCTCTTCATCCAATCCTATGAACTTTTCAAAATCTTATCATACAGTTAATATCAATTTTCTTTGTCTAGCTAAATGTGGATTTGTAGTGTCTCAATCTCTGTATTTTTCTTGTCTTTATCTCTACTCGGTGTAGTCATCTAGTAAATAAATTAAAAAATTAAATTTCATTAGATAAAATTATAAGCGTTAAACACTATAATTTTTAAATTCTTGAGATGTATTGATATAAAATATTTTTACTTACAGGTAATGTGTGTTTTGGTGTAAAATAAATAAAATCAAAATAAATACTATTAATCAAATATATTTTTGATGAAAAATCACATATGTAGCATAAACTAATAAAATAAAATAAATATCAACCAAAACTTAGAAAATTGTGAAATCTAGAAAATAGCACAAGGACATGGATTTCATTTTTGGTACTTATTCGTTTTGTTTTCTCTCAATTTTGCTCTTACATTTTTTTTCAAGCTTTTTTCCTTTTAATTTCACACCTGATTTTTTTTATATTTATATATAAAGAAGCTACTTTATATTTTTTTATATTTAAATATTTGATGTTTTTAAAATATTATATTTATTAAAAATAATATTATTTTTAACTTTGAATTGGGTTATTATCGGAATAGATGAACGTAAATCCATATTTAATTCATTTAATAAATAGTTTAACGACTTTAGATTATAATTGATTATAGATTATTAAAATTAATTACCAAACCTATTTAATTAACTCAAATTCGAATTACATTTGTATTAAAATCTGATCCACTGGGGGTGCTACTAGTAGCAAAGTAGCACCTAGGAATTTAAACTTTACACATAGGCAAAAAAAAAAAAAAAAAAAAAAAAACCCTCTACATATAAGGGGCCATCAGGTAGCCCGTAGCCCATTGGGACTTGTATTCTGAAACAGAAATCCTATCACAGAACCTTTACCTCGTTCAACGAAAACAGCACCATGAAGCGCATTTAGTGTGGCAAGGCCCATCGATTCAATAGGCGACTTTAGAGCATCTGAGAAACGTTTTCCTTCTTATTTTGGGCCAAGCATATTGAACGTCCCATTACCTCCATACTGGCTTTTTTTCAAAGGCAAATAATGACTTTTTATTATCAATTATAAATTCATATATGTTTTTATTATAATCATAAATTCATACTTGAATAAAGGAAGTGAGTATCTATAAATATATGGTCCGACTTGAGTAATGTTATTCTTACATAACTATTTTATAGAATTTATTTATAAAAAAATATATATAAATGATTGGATGGATATCTCATTCATTCAATAATAAGTGAATTTCGTTAATACCTATTATAAATTCAATTTTTGATATTTTCTGTAAGTAAATTCTATAAGATAATTATGTAAAATTCGTATTTTTCACTTAAAAATCTCTCAAATCCATATTCATAGTGAAGTAGTTGATTCGATATTATTGGCCTATTTAATAAGTAAATTTTCATCATCAATGATTTGAAAATCTTAAACTTAATTATATACAAATTATCAATTTCCATTCGTTTTTTTTTTAAAAAAATCAATTATCATTCTTGAGAAATTATTATACACATCGGTCCACTGCTTGGCATTATGAACCAAATCAATATATAATATAGAGACACATCAATGATTTCGTCATGTTACCAAAAATATAACTATAATTAAGCTTTAAAAAATGAAAAAAAAATGTCTTCTGCCTTCTCTTAACCTTGTTTAAGTCTCTCTTTTTCTCAGCCCTACTAATCTCCATGCTTGTGAAGAGGGTTGGTTTGACTGGACTAGTGGTCAACAATATACACAGTCAATAAAGTTGCTTAAACTTGTCGACTTGAAGGTTGTTTGGCTTTGTCGGTTAGGTAATAAAAAACAACATAAGACGTTTATGGTTATAACATCATCTTGTAAAGTTGCATTTTAAAATCAGGATTGTTCGATTGATTCAACAATCTATAAATCCATTGTGTTTTACTTTCGATTAGCAGGACTTGTTTATGAAATTCATGATTCGATATTCGTGTTGAACATTTTGGGCCTATAATTGCGTCTCAAATCCTATTAAATCTTTAGTTTGCTAAGGGGTTATATAACATGACGACGAACTAAGAAAATGCCCTTACATCGATTATCAACTAAGAAGATGCCATTACACTGATAATAAATGCAACCACCCCGGCCAAATATGAAATTAGGTGCTGCATCGACATCCGGCAAGAATACAAGTATTTAAAGATGCCTTTGGTCTATACTCACATATGATTTTCCCATTTCATTTAATTCAATATCCAACTCGATCTAGGCAGGAAGTAGAATTGTTGGAGATAAATAAAAAGAGGTGTAACACCATAAGAAAAAGATAGATGGGGAAGAATTAAAGGGGAGAGACGGGCCTACAATACAATCAATCTTTTTTTTCTTTTTTCTTTTTGATCCTTGTTTTTACGTGCCCATCGTAATACATTGCGCCGTTATCATGGTCCATAGGCATTCACATTCCAGTCTTTTCAGTGTCACTTATAGTTCAAAAGAAAACTACACAATTAGTGATGGAAGCTGACTCGCTGTGCGTGGTTCAAAGGATAAACTAGACTGATGATAATTTGACAAGATCAAGTGAAGATGATGGGTATTAATCAACAAGTGTAATTTACATTATTTTGAGAATGATTAGTGAAAATTATCTCTCAAAATTTACGTGGGGTGGATTATTAGATCGTCATAGCAAACGGTACGCCAGTCAATATCCCTAGCATTACCTCTACATATCCAACCTCATTTTTATCTATAGCTAGCTTTGATCCCCACAAAACAAAATTTCTACATGCCTAAAAGTATGAAAGGGAGGGGACAAAAGAAGCTTCTAGGCAGTACTTTGTTAGTAAACATTCAAAGCAATTGAACCCAAGCGTATCAAATGAGGAAGCTAAACAGAATCCAAGGTGCCTTAATTTGGATGCAAAGCAATGATTTAATTTGCTTTGAACATCGTGCCTCAATCACCCTATCGAAATTTTTTTTTTGGTAGATTCATAATCTTATTATATGATCATACTATATAAAGCATAATACTCACATTATGCATGTAATTAATTAATGTAAATCGATAATAAAACATACCCATGCAGCAGATCTTGAGGCAAGGCAGAACCTTAGCTTTGCGCACATAAAGGTAGAAGCTTCCTCGATATGTGCACTCATGAAGGTGCGTTGCATTCCTCCCCTTTAGGCTTTATTAGCTTTTCCTCTTTCTCTGTGTCTGTGTGGAGAGGTGGAGCTTTCTTGACAACTTGCAGTGCCCAAATTTTTTCTCTGCAACCAATAAAGGTAGTGGCACCTCCATCTTTTTTTCTCATCAACAATGAGAAAGAAACCTCTGCATGTTTCTCAACTTAGCTACATTGCCCCATCCAGTGATATATAGCTATAGGGTGAAATTTTTCTTTGGTTACTATATATATATATATATATATATATTAGTTGGCTGATAGTTTGCCTTCAGTATGTGTGTATACGAATGTAGGAAAATATAGACTTGGGATGAAAATTTGAGGTTCTGGTCCGATAATGTCAGAAAAATCATCAATCAAAAGTATAGAGTGCCATAAGATCAACTAAAAAATTGCTTATATTATTGTCATTATAATTCATGTGATGGTTCTACAATAGGTTTAATATCAGGTGTGTGGTAAAATCTTGGTTAATTAAGAATATGTAATTCGATATGTCTATTTTTCTTCTCAAAATAAATCTATAGAGCCACTAATTACTGATTTCTCATGAAATGGATATATATGTTTCTTCAAGTCATGCTGATTGCATGCATACAAACAAAAACAAAAAAAAAAAAAAAGGGATGGGGGTGCCCTATAGTGATTTGTCCTCTTCTTTTTGATGCCTTTGGAACACAGAGTTAAGTAAAGAAGAAAAGGGGCATGCATGAAAGATAGATACTCTCTGTCGGGTTCTCTCAAAGGAAAACTATTCTTCATTCAAGGAATTAAAAAGAATTTCTATATATGTAATCTCTCCCTTCACTCAGACCAAATGGGTTTACAGAAACTTTTTTTTGTTTTTAGTTTACTGTTGTATGTGTGTTTCCCAAAACCCCAGAATTTTTTTGTTGATAGGGATAGTGGATTTTTTTATTTCTTATGTTCATTTCCCCAATGGCTTTGTCTGCAATGATAGGACTAACTAACTGATGAGAGCAACTAACTTAAAAAGCAGCGGTTAGAAAAAAGATTTCTGGATTAGTAAGAGGCGTGATGGCATGCCATTGACCCACAAGGACCAAACATGACATTGCACAAGTTCAAAGGCATGAATTACAAAAGCCTTCATCAGAACAAATTTTGAATTTTCCCATTTCATAATTAATAAGCTGTACCACAGCATATCATTCATTGAGGTTCTAGATCTACATTCATGTTTCACTCCTCCATGATATATATATATATATATATATATATATATATATGTGGTTTTAGTTTTACATTAATATTACATGTACTTATATTCAAATCAAGGGATTTTGCTTTTGTTTTTTTTTACTTCCCCTTTTCTTTATATATTGTTTGCTTTTTCTTAACATTGGAGAGGAGATTAGTCTGGCCTGGCCTAGTAGCTGGTTAACAAAGGCGTTGCTTGATTTCCTTTTTCTTCCATTTAGAAAAACAAAAAAAACAAAAGAAAAGAAGAAGAAGAAGTTGCTTAGTTTGTTTTTAGTATCTTTTTTGAGCAATTATTACGAGTTTCTCGCATAAATAGAAGTCATAATTAGTGCTCATAGTAAATTCAACCTGTATATATGAGAAGTAAAGCATAATTTTCGTTTTCTATTTATATCATCTAACCATTTAAATTTTCGAGTTTAAATGATTATTTGACATAATATCAAAATTTTCATGATTAAACAGTTATGAACTTAATCTTGTCATCTTCATTTCTCTTTTAATTAATTAAATATGAAATAGTGTGAGTATATATAATATGTTTTAAACTCAAATAGCTTTCATTTAAAAAATATATTAAAAAATAATATAAATTATATATTGAGAACTCAGATAACAATTTAAGTTTTTGAGTTGATATGATTTTTGACAAAGGTCAAATACGCAAACTGTCGATCAAGAATCCATGCCTGTATTCTTCAAGCTTTGGCCTTGCCATTTAGACATTAAAGCCGGTGGATCCTTTTTTTTTTTGTCCCCAGCAATATTGGCAAAGTCCGTGCCTGGCATATTTTTTTCCCTATATTTTAGAAGATCCAGCAGGTCTTCAATTACACCATAAGAGAGAGCTTTCTTTCCATCTTTAAATTCCCATCAAATCTGTCCTATGGTTTGAACCTAAGACCTCTTAATTAAAATTCTAAATTTTACTCTTGGGCTGTCCCCAAGTCGCATACTTTTCTGATGATACAAAAATGATTTTGAATAACATTTAGAGATGAAACGTTGACGTCATGAACTTAATTAATTTAATTGACGTAATTAGCTAAGCTCATATGGACTTGATTAATGCATGGAATAAAAAAGGAGCGAGGTGATAACAAGAATCCGTAGCTTTTGCCTTTGTCCATAATTCTATGCACAAACTTGAAGGGCTCTGGTATATATAATTACCAATTTCAAAATATATAAAGAGATGAGAAGTAGATGATGGAGAAGATGTATAGCTGGAAGACTCCTTTGTAGTGACACCGAACTTATGGGATGGGAGTTAATTACAAACAAAAATAATATATTGAAAAAATCAAGTGTCTACAAGCTACCATATTCCAAACCATGAAACATAAGATGCATGAGGAAAACAAGAAGAAACCAAGTGCCAAAATAAGTACAAGTTTAATGTACTTGTTAATTCATAACAATTTAACTGGATTGTTTGCCACACATGGCATTATGTTATGCTCAGAGTAGAAGCCCTAATGTAATAAATTGCTAGTAACATTTTGAAGTCCAAAAACCCTATATCTCATACTTTTAAGAGCTTAATAATTAATTCATATCATGTCACTTACATCTACATATAGGTCATAGGTCAGCTTTAACCAAACGGTGAGTTTCTGCCTGCACTGCTATTGATCATAGGGCTCATCCTGTCTGCTGAAAGTGGTGCTCTTCTTGGCGATGGCCTTTCAAGCTTTGCTGATGCTTCGAATTTCTTTTCATCCAGTGCATCACCAGGAAGTGCTGGCTTTGTTTCATATATGTCAGATATCGATTCCAGATCAGTACCCCTATCCATTGATGGTGGTGCAATCTGGATCTGGTCACCTTTGAAAGGATCATCTTGAGGTCCTAGACATGCCGGTCCTGATCCCAAATCTTGCAAACGCAGATCGTCTGACCAAATCAAAGGGCTCTTGCCACTGCCACCGTAAGGACTGGGCCTCTTCTTTCCCAAACAAATGTCGTTGTTCGGCATGAAAGCATCAAGTGATGGCCTATCCATATTGTGTTGAAGGTCAAGTTGGTCACCCCCATAAATGTTAAGGTCTTGAAATGCAGGAAAATTCAGAGGACCAAAGTCTTTCATTGCACCCATATCAGGAAGTCCTTGATTCCCAATTCCCTTATAGCTTCCAGAAGCCAAGTTTTGATCACCTGCTAGGGTTTGGCAAGCTTTCTCCAACAAACTTTGTATATATTTCCCTTGAGCCTCAGTCCTTAATTGAAGGTGTCTTTGAACCTGGGAAGCATCAAAGTATATCCATAGACTGCCTTTATTAATGAAACGAAATAAATATAAAAAAGGATGGAGTGGAGTTGATGTGAGGAACAATCGATCTATGCTTACCTCTAATTGTTCATGCAGTCTTCTCTGCACCTCCATTTGCATCCTAATTAATCGCATCAGTCATGTGTGAGTTACTGTTATATACAGTTTCACACATATATTCCACAAGAATGAAAGAAGAAACTTAAGCGATTTTTTTTTTTTTTTTTTTACATTTTTAGTATTATCTTTAAAAGAAAAGTAGGGAAAATTGAGAGACGTCGGCTGGAATTCGTAATTGGTCCGTTTAAGAGAGAAATGTTTTTGAATGCAATACTTACTCATTCATACTGCGGCTCATCATGCCAGACGAAGATGCTGCACTTCGGTGAAGATCTAACGCCGAAGCTGCATATGCCATGGAAAATTATGAACAAAATATTTAATCTGATCCTTTTGATCACATTGTGCATGTATACGGCTCAAATATTATGAAACAAAGGAAACGAAAATAGAACAGGTAGGCATTTAGATTAATGCCACTCTCTGTGTAAAGCAAAAGGAAGGAAGGCTTCGGATCCGAGTCTTCCCTTGCCACCTTTAACAACCGAAAGAAAAAAATAAAATAAAATAAAAACCTTATATATAAAGATGGCTTAGCTCTCTTACCATCCTTAATTGAATGATCATTGAAATCTTTGTGTGGTTGCTTTCCAAGTCTGAATTTCTAAATTAAAAGAAAAGAAACATTAAAGAAAGGAAAAATTAGAGATAGAAGGAAAAGAATGAATGAAATCAAGCCAACCCTACATCGAAAATGTCACAAAGGTGTCCATACAAAAGCAAAAGAAGCACGAAAGAATGTTCTATTCAAACCTGAAGATGGCTTTTGAGGTGGTAAAGGGTAAGACCCTTCACACCCATGACTCTCATGATGGTTTTGGGAGTGGCCTCTGCAAATTTTTTTGATTAAGCATAGAGAGAAGGGGGCGAGAGAGAAGGCAAAAGAACACGTATTAGGAAGATTGAAGAAGTGATCAACACAAATACTTATTAGGAACGTACATAACTAAAGACTACTGAAAGAGTAAAAGATAGATTAAGTACTATCTGGGCCTCCAAGCTGAGTAACAGCATCCACAAAGCGTTCATGGAGCTCAACAGTCCAGCGGAGACGGGGCTTAGGGTCTGTGGTGAGGACAAGACCAGAGTCCCCTTGAACACACATGGGTCTATCATGGGAATTCATAGTTGAGGGTTTCTTGGTATGGAACATTCTCTCTTTCTCTCTCTCTGAGACTCTGGGAATACAAATAGATTCAAGAACAAATGCGATGCAAATAGGGAAGAATAGGGTGCGTTTTTGAAGAAGAAGAGAGGGTGGGATTTGTTTCTTTTCTCTCACACACTAGAAGAAAGCAAAGGGCGGACAAGTTAACCTTGCATAAAAAGAAAATGTATAATAATACAATAATAATAATAATAATAAATAAATAAATAAAATAAAATAAAATAAAGTACCTATCCTATATGAATGTGCAGCCCTACAACCTTTGTCAAAAGATACTCTCTCTCTCTCTCTCTTAACTGTAGCAGTCTACACTAAATGAAAATACACTTGCCAAATACTTGATTAATTGTTTACTTTCTAAGCAGAAATTGCATTGATAGATATAGAGGGTGAGAATCTTTTTTGATTTTGGGGTGTATGTACCTGTATTGTCAGATAGGAGAGTAGAATACCTTTTGTTATCACCAAAAGAAGAGTACATCTTTTTGTAGTGTTATTCTTCTACCATGTGAAGCTTTTCTGGTCTTAAGATATGGGAATTGAGGCCCCCTTGCAATCATGATGAGCACAATACGCGTTGTACTTTACCATTTTTTTTTTTTTTGGTAGTCATGCATGCACTCATGCTCTGCGCTCATATAAACCCAGATGTCACTAGAAATAAGTGCATGGTGGTCAGTTATCATCATTTCTCTTGTTTCGTAGTACGATCCACTTTTTAGCTTATTATGAGCCAATAAGATTATAATTGCCAAGGTGGTTTAGAACACAAAGACATGCTTTAGTTTATGTCATTGCCAACCAAAAGGTTTCAATGATGGTTTATATGATTAAGACAGTCTCTATCTTATATATATATATATATATATATATATGCATTGGCACAATAATAGTTGTATGGGTTTTGGATTATTTAGTTATCAATTGGAAATGCTCTCTTTTTCTTTCCATGATTATAGCTATCTAGTTGTTTTTTATTATTTGATTAGAAAATGGTTTTACGGTGTTAAAAAAAAATATTTTTTTTTAACTTACACACCTAAGTCTCCTAATAGAACTAGTTTAATAGGATTTGAATCCGTAACTTCAATATTTTTACAAGAGAACACTGCCACTAGATTATAAGCTCTTTGATATGTTAACAAAAATCTCATGTGGAATAATAAATATATAAAATTGAGAAGGAACTACTCACACCATAAAACTTAAGCTTTTTGAATAAAATCTAATTTTAATTGTCTAACTCTATATGATATTAGAGTCTCCAAGAGACTTAATGACCAATAAAGATTTTGAAATCACTCAATAGATCTTAAGAGATGAACTTACGAAGAGAATATTAGAAAATATATCATATATTGAATAGTTAAACAAAAAATAAAGAATATATAAAGTTGAAAAAAATTAACACATATATTTAAAGAAACTTGAGCTCTGATTAATTCAGAACCAAAAAAGCTTACAAAATTTTTAATAAATTACTTTATTGATTAAATTTTAGAACTCCAGTTTATGAATAATGTACTGTTTAGCCTAAGTCTATATTTAAACAAATCCAGGAGACCTAATTATAACAAATGGCTAATGGTTGACTTGAAAAATCCGGCAGAGGATATATTAAACCCTTACATAGATGACTGCTTTCCTCCTGGATTCTGATTTATTCAGACTTTCTATGCATGAAGTGTATCCAGATCTTTTTGTCTACTAAAAAAACTGGTTAATATGTTCGTAATAATTATCTTCAGATTCTCCTGATTTTAGATCTTCTCTAAACTTTGGTAAACATAAAGTACTTTCACAATTGCTATGGGATATCTTTGTTAGTGACCCCTCCCCTTTTTTCTTTTTTCTTTTATTAAAGAATGGCCGTCTATGGTATGAGCAGAGGATTCATTGAAAATTTAATTGTTCGTAATTCTAATAAATCTGAATTCTAGCTAATAGCTAAAAAGAGAATACAATCATCAATTTAATTGTTGATGATAATTGTCGGAATATATTTGATCTAGAGATATAAGAACGTCGTTGATGATGAGAAATTTTTCACACGTTTGCTGATGCATTTATCAGTACTAGTGCATCTCAGTTCTTATCACTTTTCTGGTCATTAGTACCGTGAAAAATAAATACCCCACCCGCCAAAATATACACCAATTGAAGCATGCCTCGTTAATCTCCAATTGTTTCTTTCTGAAAGTAGTTAATTAAGCCACATTCTTAATTTACTTTAACCTTTTTATAAGCTCTTAGATCAGCAAATTAGCACTCAAAATCGTTCCATGTGGTGACGATTTTTTTCATCCCATCAGACTTTGCTTTCGGTGGTCGACAGAAACAAAACATATTTAATTATTAAGCCCCTTAGATATTAATTATTGCTGTTTTTTTTTATTTTTTATTTTCCATTTTTCAAAAGTTGTTTTCAAAATTTTAAAAACAAGAAACAAAGATTGACAACGAGTTCTAAGAATACAACATATTCAAGCACTGAAATTAGGGGATAAATGTAGTTTTTATTAGAGATGAGAAAGCACCAAGAAATATACAAAGGTGGAAGCAACTTTTAGGGGCTCTTCTGCTATGATTGGTACTATGTGAGAGGACGTGAACATCAATGCATAAAGCTAGGGTTTTGAGTATGAGCTTTTGATGACAGGATTTGGGGACCTCTCTTCCTCCACCTAAAGCTTTGTTGCTGGGCTCAACTTCTAATCACTTTAGTGGAATTGAAAATTGTCCTGCCATGCATTTCTGCTTCCATCCAAAACCATAACAAACAGAAGAACTCAATTAGGGTCAGAGCCAAGAAATTGACATCGGGTCCCACCGCTCATGATGAAAAAGTACGGTAAACCAGATTAGGAATGAGAAAGGAGCGGTTCGATCGGAGTGGATTATCCTTTCCATGTCTTGATCATCCCAAGTTTATTTTTAGATGGGATAAAGAAAACATTTTTTTTCATTGGATTTAGAACCGATTCAAAATTGTCAAATAATTGAATTATGTATTTTTATAAATATAATATAATATTTAAGAATTAATAGACATCAAAATAAAATATTAAATGCTCCATATGAATATTGATCTTTAAAGACTTTATTATGCATACTTAAATACAAATAACATAAAAATAGATTTAACAACAAATTTATTTGTAAAAAATCAATTGTTCAACAAATATATTTAATAAAATACCAAACATAACGTGTATGTGTATGCGTATATATATAATCACGTTTGAATTTTGTACAAAATTTGAGAGCCTGCTCGTATTCATTTTGAGGAGAAATCTCATATTCACTAATTGGATTTTGTCATATCTCTATTTGAAAGGAAATTTTCAATACCATCCCTATATAATTAAGATGATCATGATCAATATAAATCGGTAGTTTATGCATGTTAAACTGATTCAAAATAAAAAATATTGAATTTGTATTTAAATTAATTTAGTAGCAAGTAATTTAAATTAAATTGGGTGTTACAAACATGTGATCCAACTTTACCAGTATTTTATAGCTTTCGGTAGAACATAAAAACAATAAATAAATAAAACTTCTAACTCGTCACAAAACAAATCATCCTTTGTTTTAAACCAAGGCAAACCAGCACGCTCTCTCATATGCGGTCAATGAGAGAGAAACAATTCCTGAGAGATCATAAAAATATAATTTTTTTTTTTTTAAAAAAAAGGGCAAATGAATGCTATTTACCGAAATCTAATAGATGGGGGAATAAATGCTTTCGTCTTTGACAATCAAAAGAAGATTCTTCTCCACCCACAATATCCCAAACTCGAAGACCGTAATCGTATGTATGTATCTATGAAGAGTTTTTTCTTTCAAGTACATATCCATGAAGAGTTAAAATCTCAGTTGTTGTGTTTTTTTCTCTCTTTCGTGTTTTCGGAAGCCATAAATAACTATTAATTAGCTAGTATATGTTACACGTATAACTATCACATCTATACGATATGGTCCATATAATTGAGTACCAATTGTCGACTGAGGTCCCTACTTAACCGTCCAAATCAAGCCAATGCATGTAAGCCACGTGGAAATCAAGGTGGTTTGGGTCAACTTTGAAGGGTAGATCGTACGGCCATAATGGCCAGCCCCCCACCACACTTTGCATCTAATTAAATATTATGAAATTAATTGCTTGTATACATTTTGGCACCTCTCTATGTATATATCCATACGTGAAAAATGACATTTCATTTGGATTTGGAGATTCGTAGCTTTATGGACTAACACTAGCACATCGCCTCACTGTTAGCTGTACCTTTATAATATAACCAAGCAAAGTTAAGGTTTAGCTTTTAGTTCATTCTATTTGAAGCCACTAATCCAGTGGGGAAGTGGTTGGCTTAATTTTAAGGGCATGCTAGCTTGAATTTCAAGCATCTTTAAAATGAATATATTCTCTAAAATGAATATATTCCTTTTGAAGGTGAATTTGAGGGACCCATACAACTAGAATACTTTAGAATACTGTCTTTTCTATCTATAGCTCCCCCAAGAGAATTGATGAGATGGCTCCTTCTGCATTCTAACACTTAATATATAACAAAAATAATTCAAAACGGTCCACAAAATAATTTGTAAAGTAATGTATCGAGATCTGCATGCCTTGCTAAATCGTGTTTGAAACTCCTTGTAACGAAAACAAGAAACTCAATTCTCCAGAATTGCGATCAAGAACGGGGGTTATCATGAATAATTATGTGGCTGCATACTGCAAACCAACATCAACTATTATTTACCTATACAACCATAATAAAAAAGGATAAATGATTCGTCCAAAAAAGAGAAGAAGATAAATTAGAGGACCGGTGAGTAAGTTGGTAGTAGAGGATCTTGCAAAGCTACATAATTTATGGAATATATGACATTCCACTTACAAGATACCTTTTGTTTGGAATAGAAGATATCGGACTAACATATAGAAGATATCAGACAGCATGTGTCTACTCAACTTAGATTTTCCCCCTTTCTCTCAATTTGATGATCGATTTTATCTTTTACTTTATGATGGGCTAATTAAGCGAAAATGTTCTTATAGCTAGGCTAGATGATAACATTTCCACTTTTGGATTTTGTAGAACTAAATTATAGCATTACTAGTCCATATTTGGATGGGGTAGAATAGAGAAGAGAATGGAGGAGGATTTTTAAATTTTAAGTAAAGAGGATGAGAAATAGGAGTTTAGAAGCGTGGAATGTTTACAAAAGCCAGTAATCATTTCAAAAGCATTTCGAACAATATTGAAATGAATAAATTTCAAAATGGATTCGAATGTACTTCCTACTAATATATTTTGATAAATTTACTATCCCTCAAAACGAAGCAATTTTCTTCATGTTGTATCTACATTAGAATTTGATGATCATTTACTTAATTTTATTTTACCAACAAAAAGACTTTCGAGAGCAGATTCTCAAATAGCAGCTAGTAATTTTGTCACACGCATTATCAATTTGAGGACATATTAATCTGTTATTTTAAAGAAAAAAATATTGAACTTGATTAGTTGAGATATTTTATGCAGCGTGACAAAAAAAACATAGGATTTCGAAGGACAGTTAAATTGTTTGTATTGATTTTTTTAACTTTATTAATACAAAAAAAAAAAGATATCTTAATTTTCTTTAGACGAAAAAGGAACCGAAGTTCAATACCAAATAAAAAGTTAAAAAAATAAATGGGAACTAGATTTATTTATTTATTTTTGAGAAAGAAAAAACTTGATTTATTTGAGCGCATGTAACTATATTTATATTAGAAACAGTAACAGCAAGCAAGGGGTTACCTTCGTAATTAAGTACATCGTAAGGAGTCGCCTCGTAATTTTCTCACGCCTGATTATATCAGTAACGTTCACACCAGATTACACACGGTCACACGGAAGATATTGGCAGATATTTCACTGCTTTAAAATTATGGTACTCTGCAGCATCACATAATTTTAAACCAGAAAAAAACTAACACATCTGCCGTGTGCCTCCGACGTAAAAAAAGAATTCATGTAATCCAATCTCTTTCCTATAAGAAGACTCCAATCCACTTCTTTTTTCAGTGCAGATAGAGAAACCAGATTGCTAGGTTGGTGTACTCCAGAGAGACAAGATAGACTGTCTAATTTTCCCAAATCCACTTTCCTTTCAACCGCTTTTTTCCTTCTTCGTTTTCTTTGTTTAGGGAAACTTTCTTCTCATTAATTATAACAAAGAACATAGTAACAGCAAGTTACAATTCAAAGAAAAGAAGAGGCAACTAAGCATTTGCGCATAACAAGGATAAGCATTACCGAGAAGCAAACAAAACACAACTATATCCATAAAAGGGTTTAGAACAGACAACAGCACGAGACATTATTTAATCTGGGAAATGGTGCAAATTTGCATTTATTTATGTACGCAAGTTGCGATGCTCTGTTTGGTGGTCATTTTCTGCACTCAAGATTCAAAAAAGTTGAGACTGCAACCTCTCTCCAACCAAGTACCTTAAGAATATGAGCCACATTAATTGCATGACAATAAACTGAATAACAAACGTTTTAACTCAAAATTTAAGTTTAAAGGGAGCAACCGGATTCCAACTATAATACAGGCAATTGGTGATTAATACAAACCTTGGTCCTCATTTTCTGTTCATATCGCCTAAGCAGACATATTTCATCTGCACCGCATGAAAGAATTCCCCATTATGGCGGTAAAACAGATACAAAGTACACCAAGAACTTGATCTTAAGGGAATTGAAAACCAGGGTAACAAATAAAGCATCTCTCTCACATGCACAGGTTGAAAACCCTCAAATAGAAAGAATAAAGAAATGTAGATTTATATGTGCGCAATGAAATTGATAAACAATGCAGTCCTGAACTTCTATAACAAATGCCAAATTATGGAAAAATCAAGACAGTATCAACAAACAAAAGCAAGTTACTGAATTAGAATACTCAATTTGTTTTCTTCTTCAACACGTGGGAGAGAGAAGATTGCTTTCACTTTTTCCAAATATGCACTAAAAGTAATACTTACCTCCAGATATTCATCCATTCCATACTTGGAGCCTTCCCGTCCAAGACCAGATTGTTTAACTCCTCCAAATGGAGCTACCTGTATTGCAACAGATAATTTTTAAGTCTTAACAAGACAATTTATGGTTTCCATTATGAAACACAGGATGCGTCCCACCTCTGTTGAAATAATTCCTTCATTGACACCAACAAGTCCATACTCAAGAGCTTCAGTGACACGCCATGAACGTTGAACATTGTTTGTGAAAATATACGCAGCTAACCCTGCATTGTTTAAGGGAAAAGATGAGCTAGAATCCTGTATTCCAAATGACCACAAGTCCTGTTTACCATATCAATAGATACAGAATAGTATGAAAAATGAAACTGGGCCCAGGAGTACATTACAAAATTTCATGTGTAAAACTCTTCAGATAATTGATAATATATTAAATGAGTTAAAATGATAGCAATGAGGAGACAAAAAGATAAATATATGTGCATGTATGTACATAAAGGCAGATAAAAGAACCTGCATTGGTGTTATTAGCCAGCCAGATGGCTTCTTCCTCAGTTTCAAACCGCAACAGAGGTGCCACTGGGCCAAATACTTCCTCTCTGACACAAGTCAGAGGAGAGCATATTAACATCTTGAAAGAGTATAAAACCACAGATAATGTTCAGGGACTGCCATGCAAAGGATTAAAATTTTGTTAACGTAAACAAATTCATGATGGCACATTTAGCAAACCAAAAGCTAATGCTACTGATGTCAACAATGTGCAAGCCAAAATACTTCCAAGTAGCAGAAAAGGAAATGCAAACCACAGCATGCTTCCATTCCAAAACTGTACATATCCATTAACTCTTTGAGCAAAGCTCTGATTAATAAGAAAGTTCAAAAATCTTTCAATGAATCCTAGCAAGTAAATTATGAAGTACCAACTACAAAACCCCATAAAACGAACTCATAGGAATGGCTAGTCCTTCAACTTCATTTGATAAAAGGCTCTATTTTAAGATGCAACATTTCCTAAGGAGTCTTCAATTTCCGCAAACCTGGATTAGTTCCCAACAAAAAATCCAGGCCTCAAGTTTGGCTTGTCTAAGCACATTAACTTTAAATTTGCAATTGAATTTTACATCCCACGATTAAGAATGAACTCAAAAAAAGAAAACATGAGTTTCCATGATTAGATGCCAAAACCAAAGGTGGGTCTGTTTAGTTTTTAGTATGCTGCATGTTTCAACCAGCTGCGCTGAAGGTAAGAATGTAACATTACTACCCATCAGCGAGTGGCAAAGAACAACAACCACTATCCTTTTACCTGTCATAAGAAGGAGGACAACTTTAACTATACGGCTGAGGATTGCAGAATGAATGTGCTATCTTCATGTATTTACCTCGATAGAAGCATCGTTTCAGTGACATTGCTAATTACAGTCGGCTCATAGAAAGTCATTCCAAGGCTATGCCTTTTCCCGCCAAGGAGGACTTTTGCTCCCTTCAAGTACATTTTTGGTTAATGAGAAACGAGCTATACACAGAACAAGTAATTAAAAAATAATTCCGTAAGCGATAGTTAATCATGGTAACCAAGTCTATTATTTGGCTTTGGCTCTTCATATAATGAAGTGTGCGAGGAAAAGAAACAGAAATGTCAAAGTAAACTAACTGCATTATAGGCTTTTTGTGAGCTGAAAATATTTCAAATGCTTTCAGATTTCACCAAAACAAACAAAAGTTTACTCCCTTGGTTATAAAATATAATGCTATCGTAGGTCAATTGCACTGCAGGAAAGAAGAGGAAATATACAATATATAATGTGTGAAGTTTTATCTAACATAGTATATTGAACAAGATAAAACAGAAAAGACAAACCTGAGTGATGGCATCTTGAACAAATGATTCAACCTGAAACCCAAAATCACAAAGGGATCAAAAGATATTGAATAAAAAAAGGATGATCACAAGCAAGACAACTGACCAATTGTATGTATTAAATGCAAACTAACCTTCTGGACTGCAGCTTCATTAATTAATGGGCCCTGTGAGAAAACTAATAGTAAAAACCATGATCTGTTCACTTCCAATATCATGAAAGTAGCTAATAAAAGGTTCTAGATGTATAAACACAATAAACTGTCTCTGCATGAATGTGTGATCAGAATATCTTCGTTGAGCCAAATTATATACTCGTCTTTCCCAAAGTTTTAGTACCCTTTGACTCTTCACAAAGATTAAGAAAGAACAATTAATTGGTTGACATGTCATCTATTCTTACATCACTTTCCAATTATCCTATTATTATATTTCAGGATCCAATCATATCAAGGTGCTTGGGCTAGTGGTGAGAGGTTTGATATACAAAGTATTTGATCACGGTTTGTTACTATAACCAAAAATATATATATTTTTTAAGAAATATACAAACCACAATTTTTTTACCATGTGTAGCCATAGTTTTTTTTCCCCCTGCTAAGTTGCAATATTATAGCCTAAATAAACAGTATAACTAAGACAAAATTTCATGGAAAATTCAATGATACATTTACTCCTCAATTACCATGAATTATGTTTACAAACTCAAGAAATGAAGAGTTTCATTTAAATCTAAGTTTAAGATGGAGAAAGCAATTGAATTAAAAATAAAATAATATGAGTTAACAAGAAGACCAAATAGTTAATATCTGACTTTTATAGTCGGCAATGATTTTGGGACAGCTCAAAATGGAAAGGTGGACATACTCGTGAGGACAGAGGGAGTAACAAAGATGATAAAGCAGTCTAGCATGTATCACCAACCACTGAAATGCCATCATCCCTAGAAACTACTAAATGTAGGAAACATAGAATACCTGACTAGCTTCACAAAAATTGATATTCAAAAAGGGAACAATTAAAAAAAAAAAAAAAAAAAAAACCTGCAACCCCTACCTGCACCACACCTTCACTAAAGCCATCCCCAACTTGCATACTCTGAACAGCTTTTGAAAAAGCATCCGCAAATTTGTCATAAATACCTGCACATAAAGTTGAATATATCACAAACCAAAACGGCTGCATATTATACATAAAATTAGATTTAAGGGGCAAAAAAAATTCAGGGCTGTAATTCTGTAGTTGGATACCCTCTTGCACAATTATTCTGTTTGCACAAACACATGTTTGTCCACTATTACGGAACTTTGCTGCAAGCTGCAATGATATGAAATGGTTTGTTAAGATTACCACCACCATGACAATACCTTCCAAAAATGAATGCAAAACAAAGAGCTACATCATTAAGAAAGAACACATTCTCAAAATCCTGAATCAAAGCGTCTGCAGCAATAGCTGTCCTGAACTCAGTAAATCAAATGGCTTCACCAATGTAACTCACACAAAAGGTTGCACTTCCAAATATGGACATGGACTGCCATGTGCAACCAACAATTAACAACCCTCAGCACCAAAATCCATTGTAGTCGGAAAGGAGGCTTAGTGTGTCAATGTGATATGTCTAAGCATGTAAAGTCACCAGTATTAAATGGCAATCAGAAATATCCAGGACAATACCACAGCAATATTGGACCATATCAATATTAGAATGCACAGAGAGCCACTCTAACTTACTGATCCTTTAACTGCCACATCTAGGTCTGCATCATCAAATACTATGCAGGGTGCATTACCACCAAGTTCCAGAGATAACTAGAAAGATCAAGGGAAAAGACAATTAGCCATAAGATGATTTCCGAAAACTCATCACATAGATTCATTTTGCATCCTATGCATACCCTTTTAACAGTTCCAGCAGCACCAGCCATCAACTTCTTTCCTACAGCTGTTGATCCTGTGAAAGTGATTTTTCTTACCTGAATCAGATGTCAAGAATATCAACATTATGTCTTTTGGATATCCAATTACTCAGACCAGGACAAAGCCATGCTGTCATAGAGAAAAAGATAAGGAAATAGAGGAAAGGTAGAAAACCTCACGACTAGCAAGTAAAGCATCACCAATATCAGGAGCTTTCCCCATAACCACATTCAGAACACCCTGAAATATTAAAAATTTTAAAACCATTAAAAACAAATGAAGTAAATTCCAACAAATTTGAACTCATATTAGCTAATATAACATATAATCATGCATGACATGCATTTGAAAAAGCAGACTAGAAAAGGCTACATTCATTCCATCTCTGTGTCGGTCAAAGCAGAAAGTAGTTTGATCAGGATCAGGATGATAAACTAGATCCTGCTGGTGCCCTGTGATATAACGACATGCTAAACCATGATGATGGAATGAAGCTAAAAAGTTTGCCAGTGATGGACATTTTCTGTTTCAATGCTCGGTAAGGATGCTCGACTGATTATTAGCACAAGTTAGCAATCATAACGCAGGTATGCTGAGATGTAAAATACAAATGAGCCTTTCACTCTATTTGTGAATTGTGGTTCTTCAGTAGAAGGTGTGCCTGCAACAAAACGTCACTCAATGTAACAGTCAGCAAGAGCACTCTCTAGTCAATATTTCTAAATGTTAACTTGCTAAGCTTTTTCTTGCACTGCAAATTTTTACCACATCTCTAGAACCAACCTATAATGTATACTCCCAAAACCTAAACCATCAGAAAACTCTGAAATGCACAACCAGTTATTAGAATATTCTGAGTTTCCAGTTTTTGGATGCTGAGACTAAAATCCTACATTACAAGTGTCCCAATTCCCAACCAATACTTACTCCAAAAACTTCATTGTATAACAACGGATAAGTCTTTCTCATCGAATTGACCATAAAATATCAACTTTACCATCAATGTCTAACAGGACACAATATACAAAGATGACCAAGGCCACAATAGGGTAGCTGATCCCAGTTTTTTCTTTTTCTTTTCTTTTCTGTTTTTCCTCCTGGTTTAAAAAGATAAAGAAAAAAACTTTTGATAGGTCAATCAGTAGCAGTTACTAATTATTGAATAAAAATATATCAACAGAATCCAGCTGCCCTTGCGAGTAATAAGTGATACATATTTGACTTCATTAATAATTCCATTTCCTATCAGTAAATTCCAAGGATATGTCATTGCATCCAAGCACTTGCATCTTACATGGCCTATATAATTAAGAAACTTCCACTGTGCAAGTAAAAGTTTGAGACTTACTGGTGGTATTCCAGCTTGAAGGGCCAATTCAGCTGCTGCTAAAGCTGTGAGAGGTGTGAGTTCAGAGGGTTTTACAACCACCGTACAACCACAAGCAAGAGCAGGACCAACCTATGCATGTGAGGAAAAAGTTATGGCATTCTTCAATGACAAACTCGTGCATTTTAACTTTTTTTGCATAGGATCGTCCTACATTTAACACACCTTTCTAGTAATCATTGCCAAAGGAAAGTTCCAGGGTGTAATTGCCCCAACAACACCTACAGGCTGCAAAAAATCATTAAGATTGCTGGATAAATAACTGAATAATACAGATTATGCAGAAACATGCAACATTGGGAAATTATAGAGGCCATATAAACAGCTTAGAAAAGAAAAGTTGTATCAAGAACTGTTCATCAAAATAGATCATTAACAACCAGATTTCTGAACCACTAAAAAGATAAGGTAGATTGAAGCACAGCTAATGCAAGGAGGGTGTCCCAAGATCCTGGGCACTGTTCTTCTCATAGAAATTGAACCCAAGAATTTTAATCCTAAAAATCACAAGTTTTCTGTAGTTCTAAAGAATATTGGTGCATTAATACCAAGACTGGTGCCAAAATTAAAAACCAATTTGAAAAGGCCTTGTTAAAGGGACTCAAACCAAGGAATAATTGTCAAGGTTGTATATGAGTAGACAGACCGTCAGAAGAACTAATTTACTCATATTTGCAATTAAATAGGGTTTAAAATATCAAGGAACAGTTATAGTCACCTGCTTTAGAACAAATAACCGACGATCACCAAGAGTCGCTGGAATTATATCTCCATATACACGTTTCGCCTCCTCAGCAAAAAACTCAATAAAACTAGCTCCATAGCTAACCTGTTATTAGAGTCTTAGATCACATGTTGCTTGACAATAACCAATAACAAGATGTAGGGTTAACGCTTATCTCTTAATTTTTGAAAGTAAGAGTTCAGACGAGATACCTCACCCATGGCTTCTTTTAGAGGTTTCCCTTGCTCTAAGGTTATTAATTGTCCAAGCTTTTCCTTGTGGGTAATTAGTAGGTCAAACCTTGCAATACAGGTGGGCAGAAGCATAAGAAAATCAGTGAGTAGAGAACTATAACGCTCCACTGATACAAAACAGTTACTTTCAACTAGTTGACTAAATTGGAATTCTTTGCATTTACAACACAGATAACTTAATAAATCCTATGGAAAAGATTATATACCATTTTCGTAAATGTTGGCTCCTCTCAGAGGCAGTGAGTTTACTCCATGCTAGACAAATAGAAGACAATGAATATGTTGCAATCATCAGCAAGAAAATCTTTTCAAGTTTCAATATCGTTTGAAGTCCAATAATGCAAAAGATTCAAAAAAAACATGTCAAGCTACATTAGAAAAGAGGCATGAAAATATGCTAATATTACAGCTAGACAAGAAAAAATCATATCAATGACGAGAAGTTTAGCAAGATTATGGTAAAAAACAAAAAATTTACATATTAAGTTGTATGAGTAGATCCTATCCAGCGTATGTCTATGCAAAGGTCTACGCAATATTTTGAAGAGCATATCAACCTGTAAGTCATAAAAACTAAAATTGGTACTCAGTTCAGCCCATTTCCTTCACTCTTTGCATCTGTAGTACCACATAACTCTCGAAGAGAACTAAAATAATGAGCTGGAAGACAGTAAAATATGCCAAACAAATTGTGCTGCAAGAAGCTATGATGAGAGGAATAAAGCTGCAACATATAGAAGCTTGGAAGTCGTATTTCGAGAATGTGCACCACTGCCCTGTTTATTGATGATTATTACCATAAATACCACAAGTGTCCGTGTATGAGTTGCAATATTTAATGTATTGCATAAGTTAGTTATGCTGTGTAGACTATAAAGCAGGTATGAATTGAATAATTGAGACTAATATTAGTTTATCAATGTTGTGAAATAAGAGCTCACCCAATTGTCATGAAATCCAAACTCTCTAAAAGAAATAAGCACAATGCATGTAAGTTCAGTAAAAATATATATATTTTCCAATTCAGTAATAAGGTTGACATACTGTAAAGGAGACATCCCAGTGCCATTACCTTCTGAAGGCATGGATACTTCCCAGCAAAGACAGCACTACAATAACTGTACTTCCATAGCCAATCTTCTACTAGCAATTTCCCCTATTACTACTGAAAGATAATTCACGCATACAAAATAAACCAATATTCATCTAACAAAATCCAAAACTTAGGGAATGCTAGCACCAGTAAGAAGAAGGTTAATTAGTTTCTTAGTGTGAATGGCCTAAATGCAGTAATACATTTTCATGAGCAGAGCAGTTCGGTGTGAAGTTTATTACATCTAAATGCATCATTGGCAGATGATATAGCATCATCCGTCTCTCTCCGACCCATGCATGGGACATTTGCTATAACTTCACCCGTGGCTGGATTGAGAACCTGCCATCCCATGAAAAGAACAGATACATGTGATGTAATGTTTGACAAAAATACAAACACACACACAATAAGGGCAGACCTGAATTGTGTTGCCATCATTTGCATCAACCCATTTTCCACCGATAAGACCCTGGGTCTTTAATAGACCAGAACTAGTTAGCTTAGAAACCAGACTCTCTGTTTTCATGCTTATCTGTCATAAAGAAAAAATAAACAGATTTTAAATCTAGCGAAATTCACAACTAACAATACCAAAAAAAAAAAGAATATGAAAACAAAAGGATACTTAATAATCAAACAGAATTTATATATTCATTGAACATAATGAAACAAACAACTTAAATTATTTCTCAATTGAATCAAGAATCACTGAAATCCTACTTATTTCTAAGCAATTAAAACATATATTAAACAAAATATAAATATACTCAAAATCGCGATCGCTATCGCCATATTTAATTAGGAACACAAAGATGAAAGTCATTGATGCTTGTGCGTGAATTAGAGGAGATAAGTAGTTACATGACGAGAGAGTGGAGAAGAGGGGAGATTCATGGAAGAAGAAGCCAAATGAAAAGTAGAGAAAAGACTGTTTATTTTACATCTAATCGCCGGCATGCGTGCCAGAGCTACTCTCCCTAACGTCATTTTTTTTTAATTGATTTCCTTCTTTCTAGCAGCCAGTGAATCAGTGTACTCGACCACTGGCGACTTAAATAGGGAAGGGAAGGAGATGTTTGGATATGCCTGTAATTACCACTCTAGGTACGCCTAGATGCTACAGTTGTACGCTTGTACTCTTACGTAAGGGTAAATAAACGATCAAAAGTATACTTTCAATATTCTTACAATTTTTAATTTAACTGTCATAAATTAATTTTTGATAGAAAAATATTTTTTTTATCAATTTTAATCGCACTGAAGTCACGTGATGATTTAAAAACATGACATATATAATGGATATGTGCTTAAAACAATGACGCTTATCTTAAAAAAAAATTAAAATTAATCTATTTCATTTAAATATATACTAAATGAAATCGATTTATATATAAAAAAAAATTGAAATTCTAACATAAGCTTTGTTTTGGATTTTTCAAAACGAAAAGAATTATCCTTCTCCTTCTTTTATTAAGCCAGTGGATTAAAAAAAAAAACGAATGATAAATTCAAAGACCCTTGAGAGTGGGTTCCAAGGAATTCATAGCATAGCAATTTCTTGCTTAAGCTATTGGGCCTTTATCGAGGCTTATATCTCAACTCTAGAAGAGCAAACTCATCATCTCACCAAGTTGTATTTAATAATAGATTTACCATCCCAATGTAACGTACATAACCAAGTTTGTCGATAACAATGAGACACAGGGAAGGTCGACTTTATAATCGTGATATGATGTTGCCAAAGCAGTTCATGCTGACGGCGGGTCTTCTTGATTGGGGTGGTTTTGGGGTTTTTCAAGGAGATTGGTGGTTGGTGGTGGGTGTGGGCTTGTTTAGGGAGATGGAGAGTGAGAATAGTGATGGCTTGAAGATTAATGGTGGTTATTGAGATTAGTGGTGGCTGTTATTGGCTGTGGTGATCTTGAGAGAAAGAAGAGGGAAAGGGATCTTTCAAACATTTGGTTTCTTTTCTTTTTTTTTCTTATTTTTAGGTATTTAATTTAGGTTAGTGTTTTCTTATTTTTATTTTTATTTTAAAAAATACAACTAAGACAACGTGTTCTTTTTTACTGTCATAGGACCTTATGTGAAATAAAAATTGATGAAAAAATTTATATTTTACAAAAAAAAAAAAAAAAAATCATGATAGTCAAATTTAAAGTTTTAAAAATTAATGGTTTATCCCAATTTAATTTAAAATTCATGATGTCTTTGGGTCATTTAGCCCTTACATAAAATTAGACTTATATTAAAATTTTTAACCACACGTGGCTGAACCCCTAAATTTATCATTGTGTTTTTTACTTGATCAATCAAGCCTAGTGCAAGTTGAATTTGTTTAATTATTTATCCTGTTCTTTGAGCGTGTTAAATTGATCTAATAACTAACTTTTATCATGTCCCTATATTAATTGTGCATGACAATTACGTGGTAATTAAATACTTTTCATTACGAAATAGTTTTTTATATTCACTTAAGTTCAACATCACCACGTATATAAACTATCTTATACAATTTATCAATATATCTATTTTTTTTCTTTTTTATATGAAAGTCAATTTTTTTATAAGTCAATTTTATTAGGTGAAATAAAACCTACGAGAATATAAAAAATATATTCGGTAAATAAAAAATATTCAATAATATAATATCCGCATGCATATTAGAATTGAGACTTAATATAAGTCAGCTATTAAGTTGATTCAACAAATTTAGAAACCACAAGGATTGTTTGAACTAATTCAAAGAACATAATATATAATTGATCCAATTAAAAACACGGAGATAAAAATGAATAATTGATATAAACGTAAGGTAAAATAGTGGTTTTGTTCGACTTTTAACGAGAGAGGAAAGTACAAATGTCAGTGTACTGAATGATTAGCAATTGTTCAATATATTTGAAACTGTATTTCCTCTAATCACATAAAGATGGGATTCATGGACGCTTTCCATGACGATTCTATGTCTACATGCATGAGAAGTAAAATCAGCTTCAGGTATATATAATATTCTCTAAAACAGTAGAGTAAATTATAAACTAATTTATCTGGTTTTGCGATTTGAATTGAATAATCCCTCCAGTTTTAAAAACTGATTGATTAGTTTTTCCATCTATTTAATGTCTTTTTCAATTTATTTTAAGAGATATAAAACTTAAATAAATAAATAAATATTATGGAAAGACCAATGAGAAAAAATATATATATTTTTTGAAATGAATTACTATTAAATTAAATATTATCAACAAGAATTAATGGATTAATTAATTAATTTTAAAACCAAATGGATTATTTAATCATCCTATAAAACTAGAAGGAGTAATTTCCAATTAACTCGGCATAAACATAATATTGCTTGGGTAGGGTTTGTAGCGTACCATGTGATTGGAGAGTTAATGGTTGCAAAATCCCTCTACTTTTCTGCCCTTTTTGTCTTTATCGTAATCTATCAATTTATTTTTTTTTGTCTTAATTTCATTTTTTATACCTAATTTATGTCTTAATCTACCATTTTCGTTAATTTTTAAACTAACAGTATTAATTTTATTTTATTTTTCAACTTAAATTCATCAATCCACGATATTTTTTCATCTTGATATTGGTTTTTTATAGTGAATGTAAATAAATATATTTAAAAAATTAGAAAAAAAAGTTAAAATACATTCAGTCGTTCTCTCAAAAAAATGTGAGAGAAAAAAGTGAAAACAAAAATACTTTTTTATGCAAAATATTTGTTATGGTTTTAAACTTGTCTATACGATAATAAGTAAATTTTGAGTATAAAATGAAATATTTATAATTTTTTTTAAATATAAAACGAGTTTTAATTAAATTTTTAAGATTAAAAAATTTATAAAATTAAAATAAATAAATTATAGTAGACTATTTCTAGGTATTATAAAATTATAAATATCATTCAAAAGTTTAAGATCTAACTAAAACTCTTTTCGTATTTTAAAATAAAATACTATAAATATTTTATTTTATACTTAAAATTTTGTTTATTATCACAAAAATATATTTGAACCCATAAAATATATTTGGATCTAAAAATATTTTTAGCTTCATCTATTTTTTTATTTTTTAAAATTTATTTATTTATATTTGGTAATAAAAACAAGATTAAGATGGAAAAATAGAATAGAGAAATAAGATTTTTTTTAAAAAAAAAAATAATAACCACCATGAGTCCAAAAGTCAACAAAAGACAAGATTAAAACAGAAACTAAATATAAAGAAATGAACTTAAAAAAAAATAAGACGATAAAAAAATAAATAAAGGGATTTCTGCCGCCATTAATCTTGCTATTGGTTTTGAGACTTGTGATTGAACGCAGATAATTTGTGTGATAAAACAGGCTTCAATTTATGTGTATATATAATCCTTGGAATTAGACTTGTTCATGAACCGTACTTGGGAGCTAAATTTTTAAATTAATTGTTGCACATTTTTGTGCTTGACTCGTTCAAACTCTGATAAAAGCAGCCCTAAAATAGGAAAAAAGATAATCTAGAGAGTTTTTATTCTGTACTATTTCAATTTTGGATTCCACGGGTACTGCGACCTGAAATGGTGGGTTTAGTCAAAGCAGCTATCAAATTCGATTGTTAACAAAAGTTGCTTTTGTTTAATGATGATGCCACACCAATATTGTTGATTCAGATCCAAGAAACTATGACACGAAATGGAGAAATTACACAGCAAAGAGACCAAGACAGCAAGAGTTGGGTAGTTGGCAATGAAGACCACAGTATCTACAGTGTACTCGAGTGCTACTGCTATACAGAGCGAAATTGTCTCTGTCTGAAGGCACTTAGCCGTTAATGGTTTGGCACTTATGCAAAGCAGCGTGGGGACAGTCGATTTGGTACATGTATATGTAAGAATTTTCCAGTTCTCCATTGAAGTTGCACGACAATTTCTTCATTTTCTTTTTTAGAATGAATGAATTGTTGGACGACTTGATGCGAGTTTAATATTCTGGTTGCTGTGTAAAAGAAGTTTAAATGATATACAGAGTCCATGTTTGATGAGTGTGTAGAAGGAAATTGCATAATACTATCACCATTTTTAAATATTTAACTTAGCTGATTTGTGCATTTTTTTCTTCTAAATTATACCTTAAAATTCAAATCTGAAAAAATGTCATAAGAAAATGACTTATTTCTCGTCAAGAGATGTGGTCTAGCGATAAAAAAATATATATCTTGATTTGGCCAAGATAAAGTTTCAATTTCTATTATTTGTAAATAATTAATCATAATTATTTTTTAGTGGTACTAGATTTTGATTTATTTGATCTAAGAAGGAACCGGTAGTCTATCAAAGACCAAAAAAATTATAGCTCGATGGTAATAGTCTCTTGCAACAAAAGGTTATGAGTTCAAATCATAACAGTACTACTTCTACTAAAAACCTTACATGTGTAAGTTAAAAATATAAAATAAAATAGTAGTCGGACTAAAGATTAAGTGTGTTTGGCGCTAGTTTAGCTCGGAAAATGATTGATTTAATTTTGATTGATGTAAAAAATTAGTTATAAATTAAAAAAAAAAAAAGTTTTTATGAGAGGATTAGAATCTTAAAAGATGTTGTAAGAAAATATTTTTCTTTTTTAAGAAATTTGGTTTATATGTGTAAAAGCTGATAAAAATAAAATTCTTAACTTGAATAAAAAAAAATGGTGTTTGCTAAAAGGCCACCATAATACATGGGGTACGCCGTACTTAATTGAACGTAAGACAAAATTTTCCATAACTGGAAATGGTCTCGAGGAAAACATTAATTTTTGAGGTCCCAAAATATCACCACAAAAAAAGGATTCTGTTTCATTTTTAGCACGAATCACGAGAAATAATGCAGTTTGAAGTTTGGAAAGCATCAACAATGGATGAGATGAAAATTAGTATTATCAATAAAACTAAAATAAAATACATTCATTCACTATTTGAAATATTATTCACAGATTTACAAATCATTATTTCTTTCACTATTCATAATATTTTTGTAACACTTTGACCTTCAATTTTTCTATACTTTTTTTTTTCAATTTCAAACTTTTATTGTATTGTGATTTGATACTATTTTGTTTTAATATGTTTTGTTAATTATTTTTATTATTTAAAATTTACTACTTTAATTTATCATTTTTTGTAATTCTCTTTTTTTTTCAATTTCAAACTTTAATTATATTGTGATTTGGTCATATTTTGTTTTACTTGTTTTTTGTTAATTATTTTTATTATTTCAAATTTACTACTTTAATTTGTTATTTTTATAAATTCTCATCCAATTAATTTAAAATAATATTTACTTGACAGTTTTGAAATAAATTTTTGGAACATAATTATTTTTTCTTTTGAAAAATAGATTTAGAAAAATTTTAAATTATATTGGCATGATTAATATATATATAATTTGTTTGAAATACATTTTTATATTTAAGGTGTATTTCAAATAATTTTTCTCAATTTTTTTAAAAATTATTATAAATTTACTACATTAATTTGTCATTATTTTCAAATTCTCTTTTTTTTTTTTTTCAATTTCAAACTTTATTATATTGTGATTTGGTCCCATTTTGTTTTAGCATTTTTTGTTAATTATTTTTATTATTTAAAATTTACTACTTTAATTTGTTATTTGTTAAAAAAATTTCATCTAATTGATTTAAAATTATATTTACTGATAGTTTTGATTTATTTTTTTATATGTATAGATTTTGAAATAAATTTTTAGAACATGATTATTATTTTTTTTGAAAAATAGATTTAGATAATTTTTTTAAATTATAGTGGCATAATTAATATATATAATTTATCTAAAATACATTTTTAGATTAAAAGTGTTTTTCAAATAATTTTTTCTCGATTTTTTTATGTTATTTAAAATTTACTAATTAATTTGTCATTTTTTTTTAAATTCTCTTTTTCTTTTTTCAGTTTAAAATTTTGATTATATTGTGATTTGGTCTGATTTTGTTTTGATATTTTTTGTTAATTATTTTTATTATTTAAAATTTACTACTTTAATTTGTCTTTTTTTTTTAAATTCTCATCCAATTAATTTAAAATTATATTTACTGACAATTTTGAAGTATTTTTCTATATGTATGGATTTTGGAATAAATTTTTAGAACATGATTATTTGTTCTTTTAAAAAATAGATTTAGATAAATTTTAAATTATAGTAGCATGATTAATATATATAATTTCTCTAAAATACATTTTTAGATTAAAAGTGTATTTTAAATAATTTTTCTACATTTTTTTAAGAAAAAACATTAATTAATTAATTAATAGTCGAAAGTCAAATTAATATTGTTTTTTATTTTAATATTATTCGTTCTTTTGTAAATAAATATATAAAAATTAAATTCACATTTTTTTCAAAAATCGATATTCTTATCAACATTTAATAAATAAAATTTTTTGTTCAATTCTATGTAAGCTTTTTATAATTGTTATTTATGTTTTTTGACAGAATCTTATGAAATACTAAAGCTTTTTAAAAAAAAAACTTTATTTAATTTTCTTTTTAGTTAATAATCCATGGATTAACAAGGATAAATCTTTTTTCTCAAGGAAAATTTATGAAAAACAAAATAGTTAAATACAAAATTTTTTATTAAAAAATTATAAATAATTTTTTTTGCCTTTTATTTCATATATTTTTTTATAGATTCACACAATATAAAATAGATTATCAAACTGAAATGATTTCTTTAAATGATTTTATATATTTTATCCAATCCGTAGTATAGTGCGGACAAAAAAACTAGTTTCTTCGTTCTAAAATTATAGTTCCATGAATTTTCATACATATTAAAAAAGTGCAATTAATTATATGTTATGTCATTTATTTTCAAATTATTTTTACATTAATATTCTTTATTTGAACGTAAATAAAAGTGAGAAATTAAATTGAAAGAACAAATGTAAGTTACAATTTGGAGGTATAACGAGTAAAAGAGAGAAAAGTTTTTTTGGTGCCTAATTTTTATTTTCATCTTTTTCTCGTTTTGGTGTCCAATTGTTAAATTTTCATGATTTGCTACCCAAGTATTGATTTTTTATTTTTTTTGGTATCCATGTTCACCCGAGATGCAATTTTGCTAAAGTGTTTAACGAGATCCGTCACGTGACAATCAATTTTGTCACATCGGCATCGAGCATCTATGAGCATTTAAATAGAAAAAAATAAAAAATTAGGCATTGAAATATTAAAGATTAAAGATTGGACACCTAAATAGGAAAAAAAAATATCAATGGCTCCACACAAGAGATATAGTTTCTTTCAAAAAATTTATTTCAATTTTCCGGCATCAAATATCCATCCCCTTTTTGTACTCGATATATATATATATATATATATATATATATATATATATATATATATATAATCTCTCAAAATTTCCTTTTTTATATTGAAAGTCATATAATTTTAAATTCTAAAAACATTAGTAATTACATGCATGCATATTTTCTTATTATTATGCCAATTGCACAAGCAATTTTAATAATGCATTTACTTTTTAGTTTAATTCATAGTTTACTTATTACTTTTGTCATTATCGTCACCACTACAAAAAATATTATACTTTAAACATTCAAATAAAAAAGTTTGATCATGAAGCTTATTTATGTCGATTTTATTCCATCTTAGCTTACTATAAAGAAGTTCGGTAGTTTATTGATTATAGCAAGCTTATGTCACTCATGATATGTTGGTTAATTTTCTCCCTAAATAGATGAAGCAATTTTTATTTTTTGTAATTTTTTTCATTGACCAACCATTTGTTCCGCAAATGACAATCATTACTAGACTTATATGTCTTTTATTTTTCTCAATTTAATTTTAATTAGACCTTATATATATATATATATATATGGATTAAAGGAAATAATTTTAAATTTCTCTAGACATGTAAAAGTGTTTAGAATTTTTAAAAAGAAATTTTCAACTAATACAGAGTATTAAAAATTACCATTGATAAGTAAAAAAATACCACTAGCATGATATGAAAAATATTTATTAGAAATTATTGGACTAATTTTGCAATCTTTGCTATGTGGCGACGAGTTGATCGCCACATAGCAAATCTCGTCCGATACATCAACAAAATTGGACTTTAAACTCGGGTATCAAAACAAACAAAAAATGAAAGCTTGGATAGCAAATCATGATAAATCAACAATTGTATACCAAAACAGAAAGAAAGAAAGAAAGAAAGAAAGAAAGAAAGAAAGAAAGAAAAAAAAAAAAAAAAAAAAAAAAAACCTTTCTCTTCTCGTAAAATTAAGTAACTGATAGTTTTGAATGAAAATGTGAACAATATCCTTGGGTGGGAGGGACGCGTAATTATGACGCATCCTTTGGAGAGAAAGGAGAAATGCGGGTGCGCATTGCTATTGTGGGAAGCAACTCTAGAGGTAATCTGGCCGATGGTAAGAGCTTCGACAATATTTCAGCAGATCTCCTCTTCAAGGTCGAGCACTGAAGCCATTGCCGTTTGAGAAGCTGTACAGTTCGCTGTGCATTGGAATAGAAAAGCGATAGTGGGATCAGACTCTCTAGTCTCTGTCCAAGCTATTTTGCAAGAAGGGTCAGTTACTCAATGGGCAATAGACCCTATAGCGGAAGATTTAAAAGCTATGTTACCTGGGAATTGAATGCCAATGTCTCTGTTAGGGCCAAACATGGCGGATGATTGGATAGCCAAAGCGTCTAGATTGTCAAAATGTCAGCTGATTGGGTATTCAATATTCCCACTAGCTCATATAACCTTCTTGCAAAAGACATGTCTAGCAATGAATCATGAGTTAATCTTGCTCAATATATATACACACACACATAATCTCGTAGGGAGGAGCAGGGTTTTAAATCTTTATTATGTTAAAATCTTTTATGATTGTTATATAGTATAACAAATAGACGTAAGTTCATTTTCAGTTTCAATAAATCCACGCAAATCAAACTTAAGCTTCAAACCGTAAACTTATTATGGACACAAGTCTAGTTTGAGCCATATGTATCAAATTAGACACGCCGGGTTTGAACATATCAATTGAACCTTGGCTCAATGTGATTTGCAGCCTGCATGATATCATTCACTTCAATTTCCTAGTTAAAGATCAACGCACATCCTCTAACATCCCCCTCCCCAAAAATATAATAGCAGTATATATATCAAGTACTAGCTAACACAATAACGTCCCATTCCTCAAATCCCAGCACACAAGAAACACGCAAAGGAAGGGCAGGCAAAAGATTGGTACATAAGAAACCCGCAAAAAGATGAAAAGAATCATATATGACGTGGGACAAATATCACATCTATCAAAATTCATTAGATGGTTTTGATCGATAATGATAATAGAAAAAAGAAGAAGAAGAAGATGGTTTTGATAACAATAAAAATAAAACAAAGTCAATAGATGTATATAATTGCTCACGAATTCATGGACTCCTGCATATATATTAATGCAAATGGCATCAACAGCTAGCCAGAACGGTTGAAAATATATTCGGCAATTAATCTATTGATATTTTAGCAACCCATTGATGGCAACAGCATGCATGGAAATTTCTCCAATGAAATTCTTATTAATGGTCAAGGTAATTGGTCTATTGATTTCACCGGGCGACTGTAGCATTGCAAATTTGCAATGGAGGGATTGTCAAAATTGACGCGACATGCATTTTTTACAAATATATATTTCTCCCACTTTCAAAATTCGCTAAAGAAAAGTTCTTGTAGAATAAAACAAAATTCCACGATGCATACCGCCAGTAGCACGATGGCGTTGACAATATTCAACAAGGAAGAAATTAACTGCCAAATGTGTGTCTCATTAACGTTCCAAATTGTGCATGGAGGCTATTATTTTTCATCTAGTAATATGTGAAGAAAAATCAAGGTGAAAACATAAGTTGGATAATAAGAAAACAACGAATATGGAACCTAGCTAATTAGCTATCAGCAGGACCATCTAGATATTTCCGTCACCAATTGACTTTTTCTTACAGGGATCGAAACACGCTGAGAATAATAAAGCCAGATCTATTAATTTTGACTATAAATTTTGATTTTAATTACATTAGAATTAAATAACATGGGATAACTTACGTTCATTCTCCTTTTCACCTCTGCATCTCTAAAGCAATCTGAATCCAAACCGATGAAAAAGCACACCTTTCTTTTGAGGTGGCGTTCAATTGCCTCCCTCCCGTATTTTAGCATCTAAAAAGTGGGCGTACTTGCCAATTGAAAAAAACCTGTGAAGAGCGGCCGGCTCCAGAATTGATAGTGATCGTTTTCTGTATTGGTCTCCATTATAAATTTCAATTAATTACTTGGCTGCAAACATCTATGATGGCAAAATTTATACGGATATAATTCCTTCTTAAGGGAAAATAAATTATAATAATCAATTCCATGTCACGTGATTAAGATTTTATAATTTGTCAAAAGAATTTTGCAAAGTTTTAAATTCATTGCATAATTAAATCTGATTTGTCCGAACAATTCAGCCACGTTGCAAAAAATTAACCATAACAAATGTTGCGTTATCCCACAATATCATTTTACGAGAGAGATTGAGTATTTGATTATAAGTGTGAGAAAAAACTTCACTTTTTAAATTAATTTTCAAAATTAAAAAAATCTAATAATACTCAATACTCGTAACAAAGCTCGGGTTAAATAATTTTTCATATGTCGAAACCATATAAGTTAATGAGAAATAACAAATTTAGAATTCGATGTGTAAAAGATAAGAAGTTGAATGCTTGTGAAAAACACTTCACTTTTTAAGTTAGCTTTTGAGATTATATTGAATCAAATCCATCATACAAGTTTAGTCAATATAATCTAAAATGTTGAGTGATTTACAATTTTCTAATTCGCAAAATTAATGTATAGATACGTTGAGTATATATCTCACAAAATTAATGTTCAGCGATTTAAATATGTTAAATGAATCCTCTTCTTACCATCAGAACAAAAGTTAATAGATTGTATTTACACCTCTACTGTAATATTAATCAAAAGATTAAATGCGACTACAATATTAAAAAACAATGACCTATGAATTCTTATTATTCGAATGTTATGAATGTGGAGATGCAGTACTAGTTTGTTTAATTTTGTCTCAATATCTCTCATTTTAACTTTTTTAATAACTAGGAAAGAAAATAGGGTTTCGGAAAACAATCAAACAATAAATTTAGTGCGAAATAAAAGGAAGATATATTTTATATCATACTTTTGTAGAATATTATTCAAACAACGAGTGGACTCCGCCCTACATTCCAGGACTTCTCTAAAATCCTGGAAGCGTTCAAGTTCAACCTTGGAGGCCACCAGAAAACGACAGAAAAGCACCATAACTAATAAAAATATAAAAATATTAGTAATCAATAGCCTTAAATAACTATCAGTATTTTATGTACCCATAATCCTCCCATAAATTCCCAACGCGCCGGTCCAGACAAGGCACCGTGTTTTCCACTTTGGGTACTATCCGGATGGGATTTGACCCTTCAAAGTGATAATTAAGTCCAAGAGTTATAAGTAATTACCAGTAATAATTAACGTATAGCATTTCATTTTAAGTCAAATTATATTCTAGCCCTTCTATATTAGTAAATGTTCCTTTAGGCAATTAAAATTTCAAAAACGCTTAATGTGATCCTGTTGTTAAATTAATATTAAAAGCTAATTAGTGACACAAAAATATCTAGAAATCTTAGTAGTACTGAGACATTATTTAGATCCAAAGACACACCTTGCATCTATACTGATCCAAGATTAAGAAAGAGAGACTTTTATTTTTATGGGAGTTTGAGCTAGACAGTTCTATTGGTAACTATAAAAATTTATCATTCTAATTATAATTAATAATATGATATAAAAAATTATTATCTTGTCCGTACAAGCAAATATTAAAATTTTCTTGTGAATTAGATAACAAATGAGAATAATAAAAAATTAATCAATAAAAAAATTTATAGAGAATGTATGTGTATGTGTGATAAAATCAAATTTGGATTAATTAGAATAAAAAAAATTTTCGTCCCTAAAAGCCTAAAAGTTCTTATAAATTATATTATATACGGATATTTATGTAGACAAAACGTTGGAATTTTTTGAACTTCAGAGTGCTATTGGAAAATTTAAATCAATGGAGATCGACACGAAACATTTCTAAATCTTAAGGGGCTAAGATAAAGTTTATTCTTCTTTTTATTTGCCCTCCTCTCTGTAAAATCTTGCCTTCTAGAAGGGGAGAAAAATTTCTGAGTTGGTCGCCAAGTCTAGAGAGAGAAACTAGGAAACATCCTCTTCATTTTCTAAAGTCAAACAAAAACTTGCAGATTCAATTCAAGCGTATACTGCTACTAACTCTCTCCCTCTAGAAAATTTATTTATTTTTTATTTACCTTCTCTATGTTTTCTCAGCCTTTAAAAGTCCATCTCGTTCTTTGATCCCATAGTATTCTCAACCATTTCTTTCTTTCTGAAGTTTCTCTCTTTCTCTATTAAGGTTTTTCTTTCTTCGGTTGTTTTTGTGGTTTATTAGAGAGACAAAGGGAGAAAGAAACTACAAGTGTTTGTTTATTTGTTTCTTTTAACACAATCATGAGTAGCCATCCGGCATCGTCTAGTAATGGAGGCAGTGGATCGGGTGATTCTGATGCTCCAAGAAGGAATTCGAAGCGACCCAAATGTGATTTTCTCTTCTTTGCTTCTCTTTCTCTCTTTTTAGTTTTTTGCTATTTTTGGATAAAGTCACGACTGCCCACTTGTGATTTATTTGTTTATTTTCGTTTCTAAATTGGAAGTTTTGAACTTTGGCTTATTTTTCTTGGTAGTTTGTTTCACAGACATAAGGTTTTTAGTCTTTTTTTTTTTTTTTTGGATTTTTAGTGGATTTTATGGGCATCCATGTGGAGGTTTTATGTATATTCTTTGATTGGTATTTGTTTTTTTATTTGCTGTTGGTTTTGTTGCATGAGATTAGATTTGTGAACTCTTTTTTGATTAATTTGTTTCATAGCATCTAATTTTCTTTATATTAATTATTAAGTCTTTCTAGTTTTGGAATAGCTTTACCTGGTTCCTTTTTTAGTCCTCGACAAGATATATTTGGAAATTCTCCTTTTGAAAGAGAAAATATGGTGATTAAACTTTTCAGCTATAAAATAAGCTAAATTGGGATAATTAATGAAACTCAGATAGAATATGCCATGAGATAACTAGACATTTTCCATAACATGAATTGGAATTCTAGTAAGTTTGGTTGTATTGACATTATATACATCCGAGTCGACGCATTTGTGTTCATGTAATCTACATTAAGATTGAAAACAGAATGTTTCCAGTGTTCTGAATAGTTGCCTGACTGTTTTATTGTTTTCCTGCAAAGCAAGCTAGATCGTTAAATCAAATGAGGTGATAAACATTTTAAATTTTTAGGGATGTGTTATATTTGCCAAGAAAAAAAAATTGCAATTTTTGTTCATTTTAGTATGATACGCTTGTAATCTTATTACGGTGTAGCTGTTTAAAAAAAAAAAAAGAATGAAGAAGAAGAAGAGGAAAAAATTGAGAGGGCACAACTGAGCAGCTTCTGTCTGATGTTTCTACGAGCAATCACAGCTCACAAATTGTCATTCACCACACAGGCACATATGGATGTACGTGTGATTTTTAATGAACTGAAAAATTTTCGTTTTCTTTCAGATTCAAAGTTTACACAACAAGAACTTCCTGCTTGCAAGCCAATTCTCACACCAAAATGGGTAAGCTTTTTATCATTCCTATTATCAGGTCTCATCTGTGATGCAAACGGGCTCTCAAAGTTATTAACTCCAAATGTATCACTTTTTGCAGGTGGTGTCTGCATTCATGATTATTGCCATTGTCTTCATTCCTATTGGCATTGCTTGCTTGGTTGGTTCCCGAGATGTAAGCACAAGTGTCACCTAAATCTTTGCAATTCCAGTTATAGTTTCACCTATGGTTCTTGATGGTCATTCTGCTTTTATCAGGTTGTTGAAGTTGTTGAACGGTATGAAACAGAATGCATTCCTGCTCAAAATAGAACCAATAAGGTCCAATTTATACAAAGCCCTGCCGATAAAACGTGCACAATATCAATGAGGGTAAGTCCAGTCTGTGCAATTATTATGGTTGTTGTGTTGTTGTCATTTTCTATGTCCTTTATTAGCAGTGCTAGTGGATTTATAAGCTAACAAGGGAAGACCTATGCCAATATTATTTTCTGATGTACATGTACCTTCATGTTACTGTTGTCTGTCTAGTTTTTTGCCAGAGCTGTAATTGGCTCTATATTGGCAGTGTATCAGTAGGTGACTTTATGCAATGCTAGATTAGCCATCATTACCTGAGGTTAAGCAGTGAATAACGATTGTCCTTTCTCTATCCTTGTTTTTGTTTTCAGATCCCTAAGCGTATGAAGAAACCTGTATATGTTTACTATCAGCTTGACAACTTCTACCAGAATCATCGTAGGTATGCCACCAACCTCATGTTCTCTATCAACATATAATTTCTGATGGGCTCAAGTAACAATGTCTAGAATTTTACATACTGGTTAGAGGTATATTGTTTATATAATCATGTTTGGAGCATTGATATTCAGGACTGTCAAGGTCCGTAAATTACATAGAACATAGGTGATGGTCCATATAACAACTTACAACTTGTGGTTCAGGAAGTGTATGTGATTTTCAAGAAATACAGACCTTACTGCCTAGGACCTAGGATGTTTTGACATATTGAGGAAAGGACTCGTCTATGCATGCTTAATTGGTGGATAATATTATGTTTCTGATCTCAGAAGAGTGTGTATTTGACTATTTGTTGATGGTAGATAGTCACCTTCTTTCACATGTTTAATAATGAAAAGCAGCCCATCATTCTATAAGATAGCAACTATAAAATTAGTAAAAAGTAGAATATCAAACAGGTTGTGAACTATCATGATTATCATTATATGATAAAATGGAGGCTTACTCATTTTAAGTTGAAGCACATGTAATTGAGTTTATGTGTGGTGATTATTTGGCATAATTGTAATGATTGCTCTAATAAATCAGGTATGTGAAGAGCCGGAGTGACGAGCAGTTGAAAAGTGCGAGTAAAGAGAACGATACAAAGTCTTGTAAGCCAGAAGACATTGCAGTTGGTGGGGGGCGATTGTACCCTGTGGTCTAATAGCTTGGAGTATGTTCAATGATACTTATAGCTTCTCCCGCCAGAACCAGTCATTGACAGTGAATAAGAATGGAATTGCTTGGAAAAGTGATAAGCAGAAAAGGTTTGGCAAAGATGTTTTTCCTAAAAACTTTCAGGGTGGAGGTCTTGTAGGTGGTGCAACTCTCAACGTTTCGATACCAGTAAGCCCTTGACTATTACTCATCTGGTCAAATTAATCTATAAGCAACTCATCTGATCGATACCAGTAAGCCCTTGACTATTACTCATCTGGTCAAATTAATCTATAAGCAACTCATCTGATCACTAACTAAATAACCTCTGTTCACCTTCCTCCCCAACTTCCTCCCGTAAAATACCTTTAGAGACTTTAATAATGTTAATAACGCAGTGGACATTGATACATTTCAATACTACATTGCTGTGATATTATTGAAGTGGTAGTTTCAGGTTGCTTAACTTGAACTTCAGGATTATTTTTGAATTTGTGACCTTAGTTATTATTCTTTTATTCATGCAGGAGTTGATTTTTATTAAACCCAAGGTGTTGGGTATTAGGCTTATATACCTTAGAGACGAGAGACTGGGTGCAAATGCTTAAAATCTTAGAATATAGTTGTGTATTTTTCCCCCTCTTCTATTGCTAAAAAAAATGATATATAATAGAGAACCATAAATTTTTCTTGCTTTCTTTTGATGCGAATTGCTTCAAGTAATTGGCATGTGACTGACCTGGTCGTATATGATTTTGCGTAACAGTTGAATGAGCAGGAAGACCTCATGGTTTGGATGCGAACTGCAGCTCTGCCAACTTTTAGAAAGTTGTATGGGAAGATAGATGTGGATCTCCAGGCAAACGAAATCATAAATGTGACACTGAAGAACAACTATAACACATACAGTTTCAATGGCAAGAAGAAACTTGTGCTTTCAACCACAAGCTGGATTGGTGGAAGAAATGACTTTCTTGGCATTGCTTACCTCACCGTCGGGATGATATGCTTCGTTTTGTCAATGGGTTTCACAGTTGTGTATTTCATCAAGCCTAGGTAAGTTGATTACAGATACAAATTAGTTCTTGAATCTAAGGCTCTTGAAAGAGTGAGGCTGTTGGATATGCCCTATATTAAGGCTCTCATTTTATAGTGAGGGTTTCCAAGTGGGTGCAGCATCATTTGGAGCATGGCCCAATAGTGGCAGCATAAGATTTTCATATGCTATGCGTTTTCGATTGCTTGTGAGATACTGTTAAATAGATATTTGTTGATATTTTCTCAACTAACTGTCTCTTACTGTGTCATCTCAGGCGGCTTGGTGATCCTACCTTCTTATCATGGAACAGAGGTCCTGGATCGCACTAAATATACTTGTGGATTTCATTTGATGGCGTCACTTGGGCGCATCACATATTATTTGTTGTAACTTTAATGTTTATTAAATGTTTAAAACATATCCTTCGCTTGAGAAGGATTCTGCTGGTTTGAAATTTTGATTTCTAGGCAATACATCAGTGATCTTTATGTATGTATAATCGCAGAAATAGTATTGAATACAAATTATTATTTGTTTCCCAAAATTTGTGGCTGTTCACTCACTTCAACATTATAAATTTTGCGTTTTTTTATGTCTACATATTTGTTTTCGACATTTATAGTACTCTAAGTAAAATGTTGGAAAGGTACGCCCCTTCTGGGTACGATGGATCAATAGGATGGTCCGAAGCTGCTCCAGCCTCTCGCAGAACTGAGATTTTCCTTCCTGCCATGGATGCAGCACCCTGATTTCATAAAACAAAAATGAAGAAAATTGTGAGAATGAGTAACACAAAAACATGCAGTAATCTAATTTATAAATGCCTCGAGAAGCTAATCTTCAAGGCCAAAGTGTGGTTAAACTGTATTTCTCTGATTGAAGTTCGTGTCTAATTTTGCTGACAATGAGCGCGGTTAAAATCTCCAATATTCGCTGCAGTGTGGTCAACCCACCAAAATCAGTTCTTTAGTTCAGACGAGTAAATTAAAAATTACTCCCTCTAGTTTCGAAAACAAATTAATTAGTCTCCCTTATGTTAAAAACTAATTGTTTAGTTGTTATATTTTTAAATTTTCTTGTAATTTATTTTGATTTTTTGTTTTAAGAAATAGATAAATGGAAAAAAATATATGGAAGAATTGATGAAAAAAAAATGATTTTTTTGGGAAGAAATTCATATTAAATTAAGTATGATCAACAGCAACCAAGAAAATAAATAATTAGCTTTTTTAAACAATGAGACTAATTAATTCATTTCTAAATAATTGAGAGACTAATTTATAATTTACTCTTGTTCACACAAAAATAATAATAATAATAAAATAAAATCCTTGCCTGGAGAACTCGCAAGAACATCCCACTTTGGGTCATAGCTCCTGAACAAGAGCAAGTCATGAGAAGGCCACCTTTCTTTGTTAATCTCAATGCTAGAGAGTTCATGTTTCTGTACATGCCTGATGCACTTCGAAGAACCTGTGCAGGAAAAGCCCCAGCATTAGTACAACTGACGAATATTTGGAGGAAGGACATTAGCAGGCAAGCCAAGGGGTTTGACCCTAGGAATTAGGATGTAGACAAACTGCCTAAGATCAAAAATGACCAGAACATACACGAGCACTTTGGACATTTTCCTGAGGGTCTATATTGATGAAGGAATAGGAGCACATTTTCCACTCGTATTGTTTCAAGCTTTGGACGTTTACCTGAACAAAAACCTTTCTTTTCCAACTTATTTTTTCTAAGAAGAAATGCATTAATATGAAGGATAACGGAGAAATTTCTTAATTCTTTGACACTATTATGAGACATGTAAAAATCTTTCCTCATGCAACCTCAGGGAAATAAAACTACTGTATTTAACAGGACTGGACTAGAGGCTTTTGCATTCTTGCTCATGTTACTGTACCTTTTTTCTCGGTGCTAATTTAGGAGGGTCCAAAATCACAACATCCCATGATTCATTTCTAGAAAGGGCACCCTTCATAAATTCAGTGGCATCTTCTCTCAAAAATGATATTCTTCCTGGATCCAGGTTGTTAAGAATAATATTTTCTCTAGCAAGCTCCAGAGCAGGCATAGAAGTGTCGACTCCTGTAAGAAAGCAAGAGATGATCAGAAAGCTAAATTAACCTTGAAGATGCGAGGAATTTGGGCTACCTACTCATGATGAAATCCAGAATCATCAAGAACGTGTCATTTAAGAAGTGCACAATGAGAAGATAAGGAGGGGGCTGTATCAGCCTGCAGATTATAGATAAATAGCCATGGGCATTCCACTAATCCTGAATCAGGCCAGATGAAATATGTTTAGAAATAAAATAATACCTGTGATATCTATTGCACCTCCATGTGCTGCATTTAGAGAAAAACCACCACTGTAGCAGCAAATATCAAGAACTTTCTGGCCATTTGAAATTGTAGATATGAACTTGCGGTTTTCACGCTGGTCAGCATAAAATCCAGTCTTCTGGCCCCCCAATGAAATTGCATAAGAGATGCCGTTTTCCATAACCTGGCAGATGAACATTGCAGAACGGCATAAAGCTAGAAGTTAATGGATTCAAGCAGAACCACAAACTTGTAATTAAAGAAATATGGCTAAATCAATAAGGCAAGGGGAATAGGTGGTAGCTGATTCATAGATAGTGACACTTCCGAGTACAAGTTCAGCCAGAAATTGGCAAGCACTTGAGAAATGGGTGGCGGTTGAAATATAGATTAACAAAGCATGGCAAGCACTTGAGAAATGGGTGGCAGTTGAAATCTAGATTGTCCAAGCACAGGCTCAGACAGAGTTAGAAACAAAAGCACTTGTTATTCAGGCATAACATTATCATTTACTTTCCCCAGTTGCCTAACTCCAGTGAAATACCACTACATGATCAGCAGACCCAAATATAAAAGGTGATAAATGACAAATGAAAACCACAATTTGGAGTAATTAAGTATCAATCTGAAGTGAGAACGATTATTTTCAAATTTCACAAAGTAAAACAGTGAATTTGCAGGTAGCAACCAGTAAATTAAAAAAAAAAAAAGGTACAAGCAGAGATAAGCAAGACCATTTTGAGCATGCAGTATGTACAGGCAGCCATCGTAAAAACTCTAAATGGTCGGGTACCTTTGATGGTGCACTTTTTTAACCTCAATAGCTTGATAAATGTCAAAAGCTGGAAGAATTTTGGAATCGAAGAGGGAATGATAACTTCATAAGAAAGAAAAAAGTCTTTCCATGGGAAATGGGTGACAGGTATGGTGTAGAGAAATTACTTTGCATGAAAAGTTCATCTTGAATCTCAGTCTTTACCATTTAAAGAATCTAAACAAGTAGAAGAGCTTGCATAAGAAAACTAACAAAAATATGAATTGCGTAATTCATAATTTTTGATGTGCATTCTACCTTTATTCTTTTGGGGCAAGTATGCTCTTCTTTCATATCTGACACATCCAATCCTTCTTCTTTTAAAATATCAACAGATGGTCTCCAATTTATATGGTTAATTCCATCAATTCTATCGATGAAAGCCTCTACTTCTGGTTTGTAATTCTCAACCCAAGCAGCAGATGATGCTATCACAGCTGAATCTCCGAAGACATCAACAATTAATCCAGACAATCTGCAGTGATGCAGCTATGTCTAATTTACTAATAAGTGTATAGGTGTGTACATCAATAATCAAGTGTAAAGTGGAAGATGCTATGAAAATCAAGGTGTGCCTCAAAAACTTACTATACCATCAAACCATGGTTCCAGTTAATGTGAGTTAACATGCATGTTAAGGAATAACATTTGACCAAAGCACATAGAATTCCTTCATCTCACACAGTGGACATGTTCTAATTAAGGCTATGGAGAGCTCAAGATCATGTACCTGTCTCCTTCACTATTGACAAGGCGATATGCATTTGTATGAGACGAGGGCAGACCTAACCTCCTTCGTAACTCTATCGCTGCATTAACTCTTGTTTCAAGCAGTTTCTTCATGTCCAATGCACAAGAAGGATCTCTACACATGAATTAAGAACTTAATAGATGAAGGAGATAAGATCAAACAGGAAAGGCCGTCTTTATACAGATACCTAGTTGCTTCCTCTTCTAGCTGCATAAGCCTAACACAGAACATGGAAACTGAATTATAAAACCCCCACCCTATAGGTTTCTCTGCTCCATCAGCAACCAGCACAATGTCTCCTGTCTTGGGTGGCAGTCTACCGATTATTCTATCAACTGCTCCACTATACACCATTGGATTTCCATCCTTAAAAAGTTGTGTCTTTCCCTTTTTTAATACAACCTTTGCAATTCCTGCCGAACATCGACCAGTTACAAAAAGGCTTAGAAGTCGTGATAGAACCAAACAGTGACAACTACGAGAACCCTTGTAACAGCTTCCACATGTTGTACAGAATATAGACAATGCAATTCTGCTATCAGATAAATGGCAAGTTCAAAATATTGCACTTTTACCAAGACAACTAAAAAATCAAGCAAATAAAAGAACATAAAGCTCAATTGCACAAATGATGCCACCAATGGTTTTAAGTCTTAATAGCTCAATTATTCTTTTTAGTTTACTGAAAATACAAATTCATCACCCTCTGCAGTCTCCATACATACAAAAACAAAGTGATAGAGCACAATTACCCTTTTTAGTCAATTCAAATAGCGAAGAACTTCTTATTAACTAGACAAAATTCAAGAAAGCGAATTCAAAGAAGTCCCGTTGGAATAAAAAAGTTCAAAGGTTGCAGCTTTATACTATTTTCTCTCAAAAACGGAAAAAAGAAAATAAAAAAAAACCAATGCAGCCCAGTATCACAATAACAAAAATGAAAAGAAAAAGAAAAGAAAGGGCAGCAATATTACAGGAAAAAAAAAAACAAACTATAATATTTTGACAGAGAGAGAGATACCTCTAGAGTGAGAAGAAGCAATGTGCTGGAGGGTGGAGGAGGAGGTAGGGGGCAGTGAAGAAAGAGGCAGAGATTTTATGAGGCAGGCTGGAAGCTTCAACTGCTGCATGTCTTTGAGCTCTGAAGTCGAAATCCGCACCCACAAAAAAGAGAGTTCAGAGAAAGAACTGCCTAACTGGTATGTTGTCACTACCTCAAGTGATAAGCTTGTCCGCATGTGGGTCGGGTTATCTCAAGCTTTGTTTCCAAGTACCCATACCCGGTCAGTTTTTCAAGCAAAATAATCACATTTTGGTGTCCATAGTTTTATCGAAATTTCTAGGTTATTTGGTCCATCCATTCCGAAACCTTTCATCAATGAAATTTGGTTCCTAATCTCTAAACATTCTCATTTTGATGCCTTGTATCATTCTTCAGTTGCCAATGTTAGGGTTCCAAGCGTGACCGCTCATACGATCCCCTGAGACTATGGTAGATGTACGTACAGAGGATATGTTGTGTGACCATTATTTGCAAGTTTCTGTTTGGTAGCAAATAGAACCCTAATAAAAGGATGATGCTGCAAAAATAAAATGGTACGAGATACCAAAATTAAAAAAATTAAAAAATTGACTAAATTTCTATTAACCTTTTTACTTGAATTTTAGCCCTGAGCCAATTTTATTTTTTTGAATTCTTCAACTTTTTTTATTTTTTGAGAAGTGATTAATTAAATGCACCAAAAAATAAAACTTCTTCAAAGTATTATTGCACCAGTAATAAAATTAGTTGATTTTTTAACAGAGCTATCGATAAATCAAAAAGAAACAAAATAATCCTCCGCCAACAAGCTTAAATGCTTTCTAAAACTATCATGTGAGGAAAATATATTATTGAAAGAGAAGAAACAACTACAAATTTAATATCTATGTTTCTCTTTGAAAAACAAAAGGAAAATGAAAACAACAAAGTTTGTTCCATGCTTTAATTTTATCTATTTGAAAGTTGGGACATTTAAAAACAATCAATTAAGTACATCTGTTTCCAAAAAAAACATTTTAGGTTTAACTATAAAAGATGTCCTTGATCTATAGAATCTTTTTCATTGTTACCCTTTGTTTTATTAAAACCATTTTACTTAATTTTATCTATCTAACATTTTCAGTGTTATCCTTCCATCCAAATTCCATATACTAACTTTGTTTGCGTGGAGAGACAGCTATATACTAAATTCAACTACTTCCCACTATCTGGATTTTTTTTTTCAAGTTTTATAGTATTCTAATTATTAACTACTCTACATTTATTGATGTGAATCCGCCTAGTTCAACGACTAGAGGATTCACAAATAAATTGATTTGAATTCTAGAAAGTTAAATTAGATCCGAAGGGTATAGACACCACACTCCAAAAAGGTAAAAGAAGAGTGATAAATCATTTGAACGTCACGAGAATATGATTAATTTTTGATAAGTTCGAGATTGATTTTTGAAAGAACTAAGGAGAGAATTTCTCACCGATAAATTTGATTGAATAATAATTGAATAATTCTTAGTCTGAATTTTTTACAAAATATAGCTAATGATGCTTGGTGGAATTCGAAACAAACAAGAATAAATGATAAATATTAGAACCAACAAAAAACATTAAACAAACATTAAGTTTGGTTTCCTTGAAGATGAAAATCTAGGATATAGCACATGGCCATATAAGTGCTAAAAGATTTTTTGAGCATTTTAAAAAGATGTTAGATTAGATCACATATGTGCTATTTTCGGTTTTGATACAAGGGATATCAATTCAATTGCTTAAGATACCGTTTATTCTATTAAGACTTTGAGATATTTACACTAACAGGAGATTCAAGTCGAAAGACATCTTCTTTTTATATGTGATACTATAAGGACTTAACATTATTATCTAAACGATGGATTGTTAGAGATCTTGAGTATGTTAGATAATAAGTTAAGTTCGTTATGAAGGAAATTTAAAAGTGTTTTCAAAGGGGATTTTTATTCCACATTAGAAAGGAATCAAAAGAAGAAGGACCTTATAGAGTGGACCTCTAACTTATAAACTGGACATCTTCCTTCCATGCATGATACTATAAAGACTTAACATTATTATCTAAGTAGAGGATTGTTAGAGATCTTAAGCATGTTAGATAATAAGTTAAGTGTGTTATGAAAGAAATTTAAAAGTATTTTCAGGTGAGATTTTTATTCCATATTGGAAAGGAATGAAAAAGAAAAAGGAGTTTATACGAGTGGACCTCTAGTAAAACTTTCAAATATTTAGTTGAATGAATTGGAGGAAAAACTAAGCTAATTAGTTGGAATTATATATATATAATCAAATACCGAGCACTTAACAATTTGCACGTACACATACGTGATTAAGAAATTTATTTTTATTTCTTAATATAATTAAATTCATAATTATTTTAATTAATTATGTTTTTAATTTTTTGTTACGATTAGTTAATTATATATATAATCAAAGACTAGCACTTAACACTTGCACGAACACATATGTGATTAAGAAATTTATTTTTATTTCTTAATATAATTACATTCATAATTATTTTAATTAATTATGTTTTTAATTTTATGTTACGGTTAGTTAATTATTAACGGTTTTCAAACAAACATAACGATTGGCCTTGTGACCGTTAGAATCCAATAGTTATGATCTGTTGAATTATGACTCGTTAAAATCTAACCGTTAATCGATTAATTTCAATAGCCACGTATGCTATGAAAAAGTGTCGATAACTTATAAATAAAGGACTACTACACGGGATAAAATTTTATTTTATTTTTTTTGCAATCTTCCTCTCCTCTCAAAATTCTTTTCCTTTTAAAACTCTATAACTTTAAAATATATGAATTTCGGGAGTGTCGTACGTAGTTCTATGTGTGCGTAAATTGTATCCTATAAATGAGTTGCTAAAATCCCTGCAGACATTATAGTGGGGGCAATAATCACCTTAAGGTTAATATGAATTGTGACTATTAAAATCTAACTATTAATCGAGTTAATTTCAATAGTCACGTATGTTATGAAAGATTGTCGATAACTTATAAATAAAGAACTATTGCATGGGATAAAATTTTATTTTATTTTCTCTTCAATCTTCCTCTCCTCTCAAAATTCTTTTCCTTTTAAAACTCTATAGCTTTAAGAGATATGAATTTCGAGAGTACTGCCTGCGAGTTCCTTGTGTGCGTAAATTATATCCTATAGATGAGTTGCTAAAATACCCGTAGCATTATAGTGGGAGCAATAATCACCTTAAGGTTAATATGAATTGTGATCGTTAAAATCTAACTGTTAATCGGTTAATTTCGATAGTCACGTATATTATGAAAGAGTGTCGGTAACTTATAAATAAAGGACTATTGCACGGGATAAATTTTAATTTAATTTTCCTTGTAATTTTTCTCTCCTCTCAAAATTCTTTTCCTTTGAAAACTCTATAACTTTAAGAGATATGAATTTTAGGAGTGCTCGCTCATGAGTTCCTTGTGTGTGTAAATTGTATCCTATAAATGAGTTGCTAAAATCCCTACAGACATTATAATGGAGGCAATAATCACCTTAAGGTTAATATGAATTGTGACTATTAAAATCTAATTGTTAATTATTTAATTTCAATAATCACGTATATTATGAAAAAGTGTCAATAACTTATAAATAAAGGACTATTGCACAGGATAAAATTTAATTTTACTTTCTCTCGCAATCTTTCTCTCTTCTCAAAATTTTTTTCCTTTTAAAACTCTACAGACTTTAAGAGATATGAATTTCGGGAGTGCTTGCATGTAGTTCTTTGTGTGCGTAAATTGTATCTTATAGATGAGTTACAAAAATCCCAGCAGACATTATAGTGGAGGCAATAATCACCTTAAGGACAATGTGAGATATTTTTTTGTACATAATGAAACACTACATAATTTTGTTCTTCAAGTTGATTCCAACATTTTTCCAACGGACGACAAAGAACTTCGAATTTAACAAGGAATTCATTGTCTCCTTTGAATGAAGAACCAACCATGAAGTTGATGGATTAATTTGGTCAAACTATAACCAAAAGAAAGTCCAATAAAAATGAAGTATTGAACCATGATTTGATTATTTTATTTAGTAATTGTTGGATGCAATTTGCAGTACCGCACAACCCCAATAGCTAAGACTTGGTCTCGACCCAAACAACCATCTCACGGCCCAAGAAACAATTGCTCAAGAAAACTCTTCGACTTCATATAGTAGTAACTAGTTAGATACTCGCGTTATGCTACTGTAAAACAACTATTGCATATTTAGAATTAACGATTCGTATAATGTAGTGTGAGTAGAAGTTTTATTTCGATGATTAATGTAAATCGAATTTATACATTGAGCAAAATCGTTTGATTTATATATATTTATTAACAAAATATTTAATAATATTAACATAAAAATTTGTAGTTAAATAATTGGGAGGCTCTTTTGAAATATTATCGAACTTGTTTTATTTTTTAAAAAATTGAAATATGAAAAAATAAATAAAAAATAATTGATATTATGCATGTAGATATATATTTAATTTCTAATAAAATTAATAATACACACGCGTGCACACACACACACACATATCATATTTAACAAATTAAAAATATATAGAATAAATAGAAAAATATATAAAAAAATATCTAAATTATATGAAATATAATGAAGTCAACAGATTAAAAAAAAACTATAATAAAATTAGTTTCGATAAATTCTAAATAAATATATATAAAAAATTAAATAAAACTTGTGAATTCTTTCAATCTGGTTATTAATTTTTTAAAGAAAAAACTAAGTTAAGCTATCTAAAACATACTTCTCTCTCTCTCTTTCTATATATATATATATTGAAAAATAAAAAACTCACTTAAGAAGCAAAAAAATAATTTATTGTATAAATTATAATAATTTATTTTAAAACAATAAAACACCGATGTTCTAAAATTTTATTTCAAAATTCATTTATTTTGTTAACAAATAAAATTACATCAAAAAATTAATTTGATAAGAATTTTAATAAGAAAAAAATAATTGAAAAAATAAATTTTAAACAATAAGAATAATATAATCGGATATATATATTCTATCATCTTTAAATTGTACATAAAAGTAAAAAAATAACAATTTATTTTTTATATTTTTTACACCTAATTCGATGATGTATATAAAAGAAGGGGGAAAAAAAGG